TGTGTGTGTGTGTGTGTGTGGTGCTGTGACAGGGTTGGTTTAAGCTGATGCAGCAGTTATAGATCTGTGTTTATTTGCAGTCGAGCAGATGGAAAGTGTTTGTCTGTGAAAAGTCATCATGCTGTTAATGCAGGCGTCCCTCTTCACGTCTCAGGCTATTTTAAGCCAGTTTTATATTTCAGACCTGTGGCTCCAAAATGTCGGACACATTTTACCTGGTGTGACTGGATTTGATCCCAAAACTCTCCACTGTATGATTTATTTTGGAATAAGTCAAATGCTTGTGGTGCATTAGAGATAATTTTTAACATATGATTGAAAAATGTTTAACAATCATCAGAGAATCATAAAAGAATTAACTTTCTTGAATATTTTTTAGTCAACTATAAGTTTAACCTTATAAATACTCTGCTTTATGTGTTTATAATGCAGTCGTCTCAAAGAGGAAGATTATAAAACACAGAGGATGGTCATATCTTTGCACTCCAACAGCAAGTCTCCATCTTAATGCACCAAACCCAGAGACATCGTGTTTTTTTATTCCATACTCTCCTGGTGCCTACATTACCCATGATGCAGTTTGCCCACCTACAGCTCTGTCGCAGTCTGATATCTTGTGCTACAGAAATTTAGCCACTGGCCTCAAGCAGAGAGAAGGAGCTACAGAGGTCTGGTGAACTAAAGAGATTACATTTCTAAACTTGTAGACTTCACCTTCGCTGACTCCAGCAACATCACCTCAAGTGTTTCTGCTTGAATTCAGTATCTAAGGCTCCGGTTCAGGTAAATAGAAAAATGCCTGGACATGCACCAGACAACCTAAAATGTCCTAATACTGTGTGATGTCCTCCAGTGCCTGAGGTCTCCTGATGTGGGACTGGTAACGCCTGAAGCTTGACAGCAGTATTAGTCAGTAGGATTACACATAATTGTCACACACATACACACACACACACACACACACAGAGGCGTGTCTGTCACCGGTAATACTGAGGTGATGCAGGAAGGATTATCGTCATTTCTCTTAGCCCGCTTATTACACTTAGTGTGTGTGTGTGTGTGTTAAGCAGGATTAGCGGCTCCGTCTCTGGGCTCTCAGACACTAAGTTGTGGGAGTTTCTCCTGAACACACACTCAGTGGGCTGCTCTCTTTTCTTTCAACACTTCATTTTATTGCTCTTATTTTTCCGGCTCCTCCACCTGTCAGCCCCCGCTCCGCTCCCCAGTCCTGCTGGTGTCTCTGGTAATGGTCTGACTCATCGCCCACAGAGTGGGATCTGGGGGATTTGAGGCGTCTCTTGAAACAAGATGGTGACTGATTGGAGATCTGCAGCATGTCACCTCGTCTCTGTGACACCGAGGGTTTTATTAGCTGCCAGACGGGAAACACATTCTTGCAGCTTTGACATTTAAACTTGAATTCACCCATTAGATCGAGAATATTTATTTTATTGGTTTATTTTATCTGCCTTCTCCAGACAATTCTCCTCTCCTCTGCAATCAGTTAATCAATACACTATAGAATACTGGACTGTATCAGTTACATGAGCCTCTAACAGCGCAGCTATTTTTAGAGCCTGAACCTTATGTTGGTTCTTGTACACAGATATAAAAGATTCACCAGGGGAGGAAATATCGTGAAATAGATTGTACACAGGAAATATACTGTATGTGTACAAGAACAAGAAGTGTCATGGAAGGATTTTCACGACATCTTTTAGGTTCTACATGTACGTAGAAATAAATAGACACAAATATTCTCAAATAAAAAAAATAAAACTTTTCTATTTGAGTGAAAGCAAAAGATATGAAAAACAATGTGCACATGTAACACGGTACAGACATGTAGCGGAGTAAAAGTTAAAAGTTGTTTTTTTTTGTGGATTTGGAAACTTGACATTGTTGTTAGTTGATCATCCTTGTTAACCTCATTAATATTTAATTGATTGTATTGAGGGTTATTGCATGAATTATGCAGTAGAAACATGAGTCTTTGTTGTGTATAGTTATTCTCAGCTAAAGTTTCCAGAGGATCTGAGAGGAAAATATTGGTGCAATGCATATAATATCAGAACCGGTGGGTTTTTTTGGAAACCACCAAAGCTGCACAATGCAGAGAAGGTCTCTGACAGCAGCTGAATGGAGAAACAATACTCCTCTAGAGAGAGGAGGAGAGGAGAGGGGAGGAAAAGAGAGGAGGAGGAGAGGAAACGAGAGGAGAGGAGAGGTAAATGAGGGAACAAGGGAATATCAGCCCCAGAGCCATTAGTCTCTGTCACCACCCCTCCCCCTTCTCTTCCTCTCTGTTTCCTCTTCTCCATCGCTCTCTCCATGATGTCTTGTTCTCTTTCTCCCTCCCTCCCTCTCTCTCTCGTTGTTAATCTGATAACGCTGCGTCGAGATGAGATGTGATGACAGAGGCAGTTTGATGCTGATCATGTGAAACTTATACGGCTGTTTCGGTGTTGTCACTCGTAGGGAGTCCTCAGCCCAGAGAGAGAGAGAGAGAGAGAGAGAGAGAGAGAGTGTTTGTTCGATGGATTTGAGATTTGAACAAAACCAAGTTGTATTTATTTCATTTGTACGAGGTTTTTAATTGTTGCAACTACAGAGAGAAGCAGGAGAAACTGAAAGAAATGGAGAAAAGAGACACAGACATAGTTTTAACTCCTTCACACTTATGAACACATCTGCAACTGTCTTTGGTTTTATTGGAATAGATAGAAAATCCATGATTTGAGCTTTTTATAAACGTTTTCAAATATAAATGTGTGTGTGTGTGTGTGTGTGTGTGTGTGTGTGTGTGTGTGTGTGTGTGTGTGGCATGTAAACCCATTCCCTGGGCCAAAGTAGGGCAGGAGAGCCTGGCATTGACTCAGCTTCCTGCATGAGTGACCTGAGGAAACAGCATGTGTGTGTGTGTGTGTGTGTGTGTGTGTGTGTGTGTGTGTGTGTGTGTGTGTGTGTCTCCGCCCTAGAGCGAGCTGCTGTCAAACAGAGGGAGGAGCAAATGAACGCACCAGCGAACAAGAGATAGGGAAAAGAGTGTAGTAGAGAGAGAGTTAGCATCTGTTGTTTCTGTGGCAGCTGAGCAGCGCTGGACTGACTCTAATCACACACACACACACACACACACACACACACACACACACACACACTAACTACTGCATACCTTAACACACACTCACACACATTCACATCATTCCGCTCTCTGACTCGCTCACATTCTGGATCCAGCGTGGGACTGACGTTGTCCTCTCCATCATCTCTCTCTCTCTCTCTCTCTTTCATACACACATCTGTACTCTCTCTCTCTCTCTCTCTCGCTTGCTCTCTCTCTCACTCTCTCTCTGTCTCTTTTTCCTTCCATTCATTTCTCGGGACTTTAAGCTTCTAACCACATCCTCTCTCTCTCTCTCTCTCTCTCTCTCTCTCTCTCTCTCTCTCTCACACACACACACACACACACGCAGACACTGATCTGAGTGTCGTACCGGCTTCGCATCGTGTTGGGGACATTGAGGCTGCCTGTCTTCCAGCGGCATGTGAGTACAGCAGAGGAAACGCAGAGCCAGAGACGTTGTTGCTTTAGTTTTATCGACAGTGTCACTTGTAATCGTGCTGTTGTTATTACCTGATCTCCTGACTTCAAAGTGATCCGCTCCGACACTTTCACTGTTACGCACGATTTGGTCTTTTGAAGATGATGAAGATTACAGCTCTGACTTCTCAGCTTTGATCTGAGCAGCAGCCTCGCCAACTCAGGCTTTGTGATTCTGTTCAGGATTCAGTAGCACTAATATCGTGGCTGCAGCACAGTCTTTGCTCTATAGATCACAGATGGGGGGGGGGGGGCAGCATCTCTTGTCTTCCTCTGTTTCCGTTGTTGTAGCATTGCCTCTCTTGGTTTTATTCTTTGTTTCACTCTTAGAATATGATTTTGCCGCAAATGCATCAAAGCTTAAACACATTAATCTATTTCTTTTCTTTTTTCTTTTCCATCTCTCTTCATTCTCTCTGGTTTCCTGTGTTTTAGCACCGACTCTCATTCATAAACTTTTGCTGCAATTCTTCATTTCACTGTTAAAATATGATTTTGCTGCTTATGCATCAAAGCTTAATCACGTTTATCTGTATTATTTCTTTTTCTTCGTTGCCTTTCTTCATTCTCGTTTCCTGTGTTCATGCACCATCCTTCATTAACAAACTTTTGCTTTAAGTCTTTATTTCACTGGATTTTGCTGCAAAGGCTGTAAAGCTCACTCACGTTAATCAATTTCATTTCTTTTTCTTTCTCTTCTCTCTTTTGTTTTCTCTCGTTTTCTCTTAATCCCATAATGCTGTATTGAGGTGATTTGTGTCAACAGGGACAGTTACATGTTAATAATGTGAACGTTTGCACAGTATTTGTGATCTCGACATGTGCGGGATCGGTCCGCACAGAAATAGAGTTGTTAATCCATCAATTTATTATGGATTATAGAGCAGAGATTGAAAACGCCATGCTGAGGTCAGGGATGGAGACATTGAAGGTTAAAACAAGAAAAAAAATGAAAGTTTGGGTGAAAGGGTACTTGGTTTTCTTGTTATTACAGAAAACCCGGAGGCTGTGTTCATGTTGTGCTCTGAATTTAACATGAGTCAAACCTAGTTCATGGTTTCATGAGGTGAATCTTTTACCTGGAACTTCAATGTGTAGTTTTAAAAACCATCCTGTAGAAAAAACCATGACAGGTTGTGTTATTCTCAGTGTTGTTGGGTTTTTTTGCTGCTTCAGTGCAGTTGAGTTGTTTGTGTTAGATTAACGAACACTGTGGGGGAAATCAGAGCAGAGATCTGGGAGTTGTAGGCTGGTTTTTGACATCGTTTATAGGCCGAGCATTTAAACGAGGGAGTGAGTGAGTGAGAGGAAAAATTGGGAGACGCTGCAGGTTTCAGGTTTGTGTGTGTGTGTGTGGTGTGTGTGGTGTGTGTGTGTGGTGTGTGTGGTGTGTGTGTGTGTGTGTGTGTGTGTGTGTGTGGTGTGTGTGTGTGTGTGTGTGTGTGTGTGTGTGGTGTGTGTGTGTGTGTGTCTGACCGTGTGTACCACGAGTATGATTGAATTACTCAGGGTTAATTAGATTCTGTAGTCCACAGTAATGGTTTAGGGACACACACATACACACACACACACAAACACAGGGACATCCTTCAGAGGGGCTTTTTCAGGCTTATTGCCAGCGGCGTTGTCATCCGAGTGTTAGTTCTGAGGTTTCTGGGAAGCTGTGTGGTGTTAAGAGGACCAGAGGACAGTCAGTGAGGATTTATTACAACACACAGCTGCCGTTTCCACGGTCACTACGAATCAAAAAGTACCACGTCACTGTCATGGTGAGATATAGACTTGCAGGTGTATTTACTTTTTCAGCTTATCATCCCATGAAAGCCATGAAAGTGCATTACAGGAAGCATTATGTCATTTGTTTTTCCACTTTGTGCATTTCCATAAATAATGTACATTTATAATTAAAGAGGCACAATGACATTTTTATGGCCACTAGAAAAAAAATGGGTCAGAAACTCGAGTGTTTTTTTTTTTGCTGCATGAAGCAGGAGGATACTAAAGCTGTGCTGAGTGTGTGAGCAAATCATTGCTCTTTGCATTGATTGGCCAACCGGTTGCTCTCTCGCAATTTACTACTTGTCTTTCGGCTGAGATGTGGATTCAGTTGCTGCTGGCAATTATACTAAAAGTGCTATTTGAAAATTCATGTCTGTCTGTGTGCACGAAAACAGCATATAAATTTGTGGAGGAAAATTAAGAATATAAAACAGGGCAAAATGTGAAAGGAAAGCTAATTCAACAATTAAATAGAAGATTCTCTTTGTTTTCTTTGACATTGTTTCAGCCGTGAAAAAAAAAAGAACAGAACGAGCACGAAAGAGCTGCACTGAATGATGCTGTGTCACTCCACTGCTGAGCTGCTGGAACGTCACAGTGTGAAATCTGTGTGCATGTATAATGAGGCGCTCACCGCACACTCGCCTGTTTGCCAACTGCAGAGTGACATGTGAGCGGCTGATGTCAGATTTGTCAAACATTGTCTGAGTGACATGAGCTCATAGGCCACTGCAGGTTGTCAGTTCCCCTTCCAGATACATAGATATTCATACCGGTCCGTGCATGATGAGTATAAAACTGTTTTCTTAGCTGTTAAGATGCGGAGGCAGGAAGGAGGAAGTTGTGTGTGTGTGTGTGTGCACATCGATAGTTGTTGTGGTCAGCTGGGCTTGGCTTCTGATTGGCTGCTGACCTAATGTCAGCTGGGATTGGCTGCGGCCTCCTGCGACCCTTTAGGATAAACCAAATAAATGATGGATGGAACTTGTATCAGTTAATCTGCAGCTGGAAAAGATTCAAAACATGTTGTCAAAGAGCAAATCAGCCAAAGTCTCCGTCAGTGGTTTGATACGTCGCTTTTATTCAAAAACAAGAAGATTCTAAAACTGTCGACCATCCTTTCCTTGACCTGAGCAGCAGAGAGCAGGATACGCTAGAAAATACTGATTTTTTAGGATTTCTGGTGATTGTAGAACTCTGATGATGTGCATGAGTGGACGTGCACGTTGGTGTGTGGAGGTGATGTTATTGGCGTGGATCAGATCTGATGTAACAGGAGTTAATATTCACATCAAACAGACTGTTAGATTATAGCTGTGGAGTATCTGATGACAGCTCGACGTGGGTGTGTGTGTGTGTGTGTGTGTGTGTGTGTTATTGAAGCACTTCTGCACACTGGAAAATAAACTTCTGCACTTGCTGTTATATTCGTAGGTGATGTGGTTAACACAGAACATAAAGCTCCACAGCTGCGTTTGTTCTCGTCTCATCTCTTTGATCCAGACATCGTAACGTGGCATAAAATTCACTGTTACTTCTTCTAATGTGGAGAAATGTCCCGAAACAAATGTGAGCCTCTTTTAGCAAACGTGCGGTGCTCCAGGCAAGATGTGATCGGGATGTGAACCGAAAGTGGTCCATGTGATAAATGGTGAATAAGGCTCCAATAACACAAAACAACTGTGGGCCACCTCTGGTTGACGGGTGGTTTTATTTATGGCCAAAACAATTTTGCTATTTTGGAAGTATTATTGTTAATAGGAGATTTGAAAGAAATAGGAAAATGCTAAGCTGTCTTCTAAATTCTGCCAACAATGTTTGTCCTCTTTGTGTGTGTGTGTGTGTGTGTGTGTGTGTGTGTGTGTGTGTGCAGAGTACAGTCGTTTCGAGGCGAAGATCCATGACCTGAGGGAACAGATGATGACCAGCAGCGTCAGCTCCAGCTCCACGTCGCTCCGCTCCACACAGAAACGCACACTTTACGTCAGGTAACACACAAACACACACATAGCACAAAGCGGACAAAGGTGACTGATTGTCTAGTGTCCTTCAGTGTGACACAACTATTATAAGGTCTTATCTCAGCTGTCGACTGTTTTCGATTTGTGTGTGTGTGTGAAACACTTAGAGAGGTTATCACATCTGAAATCACAATTAGATTGTCTGGCGAACTCTGTCTCACACTCGTGCACAAACACATCCATCGTCGAGTGTCTTGATTTCTCTGTGTGTGTTTTTGTGCGTGTGTCCTTCTGTCCTCGAGTCATTCTCATCCTTGTTGTTCTCTGAATCGCCCTTTCCTGCTTAGTCTCCTCTGTTAGGAACCTTTTTTTACAAGATTCACAGTGTTCGAAATATTGATCAAACGCCGGCTCCAGATAAGTCACATTGACGCTGTTAGGAGATCAATAACGAGGAAAACAGAGACAGGGAAAGCAGCTCTAATGGCAACGCTAACGATTGGATCCAGTGGCTTTAAGGAGACGCGGAAACGTTTTTTTAGGTCGAGATACAAAATGATTTAGTCAAAGAGCAAATATCAATGATCCACAACACAACGTTTTTAGGACTAAAGGATCAAGACATTTCTTGAAGATGGCTGATAGGAAAGAAGTGTGGCTTAAGTAAAGTAGATTCTTAATTACATTCGCTTAATTACATCTCTTCTGTGCGTCACTGTTTTTCATTCATGTGTGGTCCACTTACTTTTCTCCAGCCTAAACCTGTCGCTGAACAAATGTGCAATTTTTCTGTTTTGAAAAAGTGAGAACAAAAACTTTGAGGCTTCAAGTTCAGTGAACTATTATTGCACATGAATGGAACATCGAACCTGAACTGTTTGTTCAAGTGGCCTGGAAGACAGTCACCTTGAACTACACACTCACAGACACACACACACACACACACACACACACACACACACACACACACACACACACACTGACTCACCAACAGAGCAGGCCGGGGTCACAGTCGGTAAAGGGAGCCAGAGGCCAAAGGTCACATTCACCCATCTGGAAGCTGTAGTCCAACAAGTGTCAGAGATTTTTAACACACTGCTGTTCAGTTGATTTTATTGCATATATGACTGAAATATGTCTTTTTTATTTATTTAATTTCTTCGAACGTCTACGCTGGCAGACCCACATTACTTTGTAAAACTTGTATTGACCCACTTGGCATCATTAAAATAAATAATCCCCCTTTTTGAACTGAACTCCGACATTGCAGCTGCTTGCCGTCACCCTTGATTCATTTTTAATAATCACCCATAGGCTTCATCGTCATTAGCATAAATTAATTGTGCATCCACAGCCTTTATGTGGTTTTGTTTAACAATTAAAAAAAAACCTATCTGCTCACTCATCATGTGATTAAACCAGGGGAACAGGATGTTTATTAAAGGATTGCTTTGATACCCTGAGATGCGCTGGAGCTCAGCCGAGATGCGTTTAAGTGAAATGATGCAATGTGAAATTTTCTGCAGAAAGAATAACATTATTTCACGGCTTCTTTGAGGAGGCAGATTTAACAAATATCACATTTGTTTTGCAGCGGTAATGTTTTCCCAGAGTGACCCGGCTGTGAGAGCAGTCACAGAGAAAAAAACCAAAACAACTGAAAACAAAGAGTTGTTATTGAAAAGAGCAGGTTCACTGAGCAGAGCTAAATCCTCGAGTGGAGTTACAGCTCATCATGCTCAATCAGCTTGAAATCATTTGTCTGTGAGTTTCACAGAAAAGAAACAAAACTGCTTCTGCTTAATTTCTTTCTGACCAAACATATTATAACAAGGCTGAGGGTTTGTTATCCGTGCTTCTAACATTCAACTCAAGGTGTCTTTGCCAGTTCCTGTTTTCCCGTCCTGTGTCTTTGTTGTTTAATCAGAAACTAAATCGCGCCAATCTGAACCCGTCCGTGTGACTTAAGCTGCAAAGTGGAGGATTTTCAAACAACTGATTTTAAAACAGATTTAACTGAAGAAAATAAGTCACACACTGACTGATTCAGTCGAGACGCACTTTAACAAACGATCTCTGAAAGAGTCTGAAGAAAATGTGCTGTCAGGCTCATCAGTCTGCTTGTGATGTTTTGCACAAACAACGGAGCACATTCAACAAGCGAATAAGAATCAAATGAGCTCAGTCAGTTTTCTCCTCAAGCATCCATGAATCTATTTAATTTATTAAGTGACTCTTCTGATTGCACTGTCAGAGCTTCAGTTACAGTAAACACATGAAACTTCCACCAGGAGAAAAACCTGGAACCGGCAGATTTAAAAAACTAAACCCACGTTCTCTGCACCAGTGAATTATCATAGATTTAATAAGGACATTTTCACGTTCCAGGTAATTATCTTGACGCCCTCTGTAATATAATCAATTACATGCTGTATCTCAAAGATAATCTTCCTCCAAGTCGAGTCAAAATGAGGCCGGGATCATTTCAAGGTTATATAGAATGATGTAGTAGCTCACATAATGAATCAATGTCGTATGAGAAGCTCCTGTATCCGGTTACTGCCCAGAAATGACCAATCAGCACTCAAACATTAAAAAAAGAATCCTCCAACAGGCCGGCTGATTGGTCGGGATCAGGCTGTTGGTGCGTGACAGATTGGGGGTTTCTGGTGCTCTGGGCTGCTGTGTGTGTGTGTGTGTGTGTGTGTGTACACATTTACTCCATGCATATGCATAATATGTGAGACACAGACTAACCTTTCCTCAGAGGAAATGTCGCTGAAACAAGGTGACATACAGTATGTATGACTGTCCTTTGTGTGATAGGTTTGTGTGTGTGTGTGTGTGTGTGTGTGTGTGTGTGTGTGTGGGTGGTTTATTCTCTTCTCCTCATTTTACATTCACACCCATTATGGTCCCATTTTCTGCATTATAGTCCTATATTCCGATGTGCACCTCTTCGGACGGCTCGGTGCAGCTACAACCACTTTCTCTGTTAAACATATTTTAATATTTATACTGGAATTGTGGAACACATGTTTAATCATGCAGCTGCTGAGCGTCTGTAAGTAAAAGCCGACATGTTGAGAAATCAGTGAGAGGTTAAGCCACCTCGCACACTTGCGTGCGGTGCGATAGTACACGCCACTGACTGGCAGAAAAAAAGACCACGTGACAAACTATTTCTGTGGCACACCGTGGTAATTAATGTGTGTTCCTTGACTCGAGTAATTACATTTCAGACGGTTCCCACACAGGAATTAAAATGTCTGCAAGCGCTGAGAACAGGTAATTGATTTAGAGCTGCATGTACATTACTGTAGCCTCAGAAACGCCACACGTGATCAATCAGCTGCAACATGACTCGAGAAAAGTGCGGAGCTCTGGAGATTTTTACTTAAACCCTGAACACTCTGCACATTGTGATTGAAAGGAGAGTCATCAGCTGAAACTTAAAGTGTGGAGCCACTGACGTAAACGCAACCCCCCTGTTCCACTCAGTGTCAGTTTAACAGTTTTAACACTATTGTGCTAATGCTAACATATCCACAGGTTAGCACACACACACACACACACCATGGAGTGATCAACACCTTTTCCATAACTTGAGTCGTTCGGTTTCCCTCAAAGGAATGAAACTGACGGAACCACTGAGAACATGTAATTGATTTAACTGTCACACACAGTCGCTGTGGTCATAATAAAACTACACACACTCCATCAGTGTAACCTGCTACATCGACAGAATCATTCCAATCATTTGGGATCTGAGCTGTTGTTCTGTTGTTGCTGTGTTTTCTCTGATAAACCTCAACTCTGTGACATTTTTTACACACTCTCTGCAGACAGCTGCCCTTTACTGTACGTATCTGTGGATCGACTGATAGACGTGAATATAACTTCAGTATATCTTCCTACAACCTTTTTCATGTCACATCCTTCTTTTCTGTCGCTTTTAAATGTTTTCGAGTTATTTTTATTTTTCACACATTTCCTCAGAAGTGTTGCCAGTTTGCTAACGCTTTATTTTACAGGTCTGTAAAGTTCAGATTCATTTCCAAATGATATCTCTGTGAGTTTCTTTGAAAGAGCAATGCCATTTTCTGTTAGTTATATATTTAGAATAAAGAGTGAGCAGTTAGTACGTCCATAATTCATTCAAATTGCTTAACAGGTTTAAGATTTGAATCTACAAACAAAGAAACAATTATTTAAAGTATTTTCCTGAAGACATTCAGTGGTTTGGTCGATGAAATCACAACCCGACCTCAATGCATCATGGGAAAACTGTGCACCTGTTCTATCATGAGATCTTTCCAATTGCAATCTGGCCCCAAACACATTTTGCAGCAGGTGTAACCAGAGCAGGGATTTTGACCCTCGGCTCATAAGATCAGTTTTCATCACCTCCGGTCCTTTCTGATGGAGACTGACACGTTTTAGCAGTGAGATAAATTTGTAATGTTCTTTCTTTATTGTACTGATGTGTGTTTCTACCTCTCTGTCTGGTTTCATGTCTTTGTCTCTGGGGTTTTTCCTTCTCTGTCTGCGTTCTGTTTTATTGATGAAGGCAGTAGGGACTTTAGGGTAGGCCTGTTATTTCAGCTCTAGTTCCTTTGCACGCACACACACGCACACACACGCGCACGCACACACACACACACACACAGACACACACACACACACACACACACACACTCTGCTGGCCTACTTTTCCAGGTCTTCACACAGCTTTTGAGCTCCGTGGTCACAGAGACAAATCACTGTTCAGACACAACACACACGTAAACACACAACAGCGACACACAAATCCACACAAGCAGAATGACATGATCAGGTAGATTTGTATAATTGCTTATACACACACACACACACACACACACACAAGTACACACAGACAGGGTCATAAATAAATAGAAGTAGAAAAGCAGTTGTATTATTTACATAAAATATCATTATTTTTGATTATTTATTTTATTGTTAGCATTTATTATAGGTTTTAAATTATCAGTAGTTGTGATAAATATATTTAAAAAACTAAAATTAAGGTTAAAGGTGTGATTAAAATCTGTATAATGTTTTGTCACATTTGGACCAATGCAAAATAAAAGGTGTCAGGAAATGATTATCTGTCCGTCCGTTACAGCGCCCCCTGGCAGTCCATTGATCTGAGGTTGTAAATGTGAATCTTCTCTCTCTGTCTGCAGAGCGTTGTTCGACTACGACGGAAGTGCGTCGGATCTGAGCGCGCCCAATCAGGCCCTGCCGTTTCATTTCGGGGACATCCTCCATGTGAGCGGCGCCGGCGAAGAGGAGTGGTGGCCCGCCCGTCACCTCAGCCCCCCGCCCCCGAACTGCCCCGAAGTCGGGGTCATCCCCAGCCGCAGGAGGTCAGAGTCACTGGGGTTTTTGGACGGGCAGATGTTTTCAATGATTCTGAACTGAGAGCTCATTCAGGCTGTCGACTCAAGTCCGTCACCGCTCTCACGCAACATGCTCCTCAACATTTACCTTATCTATGATCTATGATCATGATTTAATCATATTAAAACCATCAGTGCTGCTGGGACGTTCACATTTTAAAAGCCTCACCTCCACTCTGCAAAACATAAATAGTTAAGATAAATGTGACACTTCTCTGACATCTCATCGCTCTCTGACGTGATCTGAATACGATTATAAATACTACATATGCTGCAAACAAATCATTGGACCTGCTCTGTGATGCTTCTAGAACAAAGACAACTGAGCTGGTAATCTCAGCTCGTCAGCTCCAGCACTTTCACATTAGTTTCAATTTACGCCATGGTGTCATTTTGCAGTCGGCTCATTAACCCGCGAGCATCGTCGTTGTGTGGAATCAGCTGAATGTAAACCTGTGGTGGAAAAAGAGATGTTTCACACACTGTAAAAAAAATTAAAAATTAGATTTTTAGAATTTCGACGTCCACGTCCTAATTATCTGTTGTTTCAATAACGTGTCTTCCATAGTTACAAAGACTTGAAATCAGTGACGCAGCTTTCTTGTATCACATTTTTGGTTTTTCTAAGTCGCTGATCACACGTCGGTTCCGAAAGGAGATTCATCCATCGGACACGTGTTCATTCGGACACAAACAACTTTACATAAATATCACGAAAGACAAGAGGATCTGTAAAATGATAACTAATAAATCTATATAAATATATATATATATATATTCACCTCAACACACCTCCCTTCTTCTTTCTCACTATCCTCCGGCGTGAAGGAGGTGACAGACAGATGTTTGAGAGCGTGTTAGAGTGAGGGGGAATAAGTGGAAGATGGAAGAAGGGTTTACAGGCAACAAGGAGGAGTGGGAGTAGGTGAAGGAGCGAGTGAACGTGGAAGGGATGGATATTGTCACACAGGGGTGCAGAGGGTGGAGTATTAATAGACTGAGGTGTTAGAATATAGAGGGTGTGTTGGGTTGGTGCATTATGGGTAATAGAATAGAAAATATGAAATGTAAAAGATGTTCGAATATTATAAATCCAGCAGATACATAAATTACTGGACATTAGAACAAATAGAGGTATAATGAATGTGAGGTTAATTATTGTATGCGCTCCACGCAGTCTTTCAATATGAGACGTTTAAGATGTTCCCTGCTTTCCTTCACCTCCTCCTCCTCTTCTCCTCTCCTCCTCTTCTCCTCATCTTATCTTCCTTTCAGTCCCTTTCTTCCACATGCTCTGTTTTGCTCTATCCCTCTTCCTCTCCCCTCCTTTAAACCTTTGGCCAACTTTGTCTCATTCTTCTCTTCTTCCATCTCTCGTCACTTTCTCTCTGTTTTCTTCATTTCTTCCCCTCCTCTCCTTCTCTCCTCTTATCTTCCTCCCTTCACATCATTTCTTTCTCTCCTCTGCCCCTCCTGTCTTCTTCTTCTGCCTTCTCACTTCCCTCCTTCTCTCCCTCTCTTCTTCCCTTTCCCCTATTCCCCTCCTACTCCCTTCTTCCTCTCATCCTCCTTTCACTTCATCCAAAATCTTATCCTCCTCCCATTTTTCCCCTTTCCTCTCCACTTGTGCTCTCTCCCTGTCTGCCACTCTTCATCCTCCTCGCCTCCTCCTCCTCTTCCTCTCCTTCTCAAGTAAAATAACCGGTGGGTTTTTGCTTGGAAATCACATTTGGATTATATTCACTGAAGGGAAGAAAAAAAAAAGGAGTGGAGTGGAGTGGTGGAAGTCAGAGATGAGGGTGGAGAGGTAAAAGTAAAGATGTTGCAGAAGTGTAAAGATATATTTTATTTTTCGGATCTTTGCTGTCGTCAGGGATTTAAAGATTTTACCTTTATTTCTGCTTTGGACCACGAAGCAGCCGCTTTATTTTCAGCGTCAGTTGTTTCGCTGTTTTTACAAATTTATTTAAGAATTCAGCACAAAAATAAATCTGACTTAACTAAATTATGAAATGAGGCTTCAAGAAGCAAACAGGTCCCTCAACCGAGACGCTGCACATCAAGCTTATTGGAAATTCAAGCAGCGAATATGATCGCCAGCAGACAATGGTCCCGCACAGGAAGTGACAAATCTAATTTTAAACTTGTAGGAGACCAAAATGTCTCTGAAGCAGACGCTGTATGAAAGCAGAGTGTCTGTTCTGGTCCCTGACGCTGCAGCTGACGTCATGTTCTCTGTCTCTTGTCCATCTGTGATAAGTTAATTACAGAACATTCAGATTAGGGGACATGGATCTGCTCTTTACCGTCAAGTTACATCACATCTGGACGTCAAATTCCACAAAATTCAATCAGCCACCTCCCACTGCTCGACAGAAATCCCATAAATTCATAGTGACGCTCGCAGATGAGTTAGAGTAGATCCAAAAATATACTTCAAATATAGACAGGGACAAAATGATTTATTTATTTTTTTTACAATAAAAGGTTATTGTGGGATGATACAGTTTAAACTAGTTCTACAGTTTCAGGATTGTTGTTCTTTAAAAACATCAGGATGATTCTGCGTTTGCAGTTTGGATCTTTCAAACATAAAAGAAGCTTCAGATGGAAATCCCTTCACAAACAGAGTTCCACCTCAGCACAGTCTCTGTGTGAACAGTTACTGTTGTGTGGGCAGAGTCTCACAGTATAAACCTTAAAGCACTGAATGAAATGAAAAGTCTCAGTGTTACAGGAAGTTCACATGCTTGATCACTAATGTTTCTCATAGCTGTCACTAAACACCATTACCTTCTGTCTCCTTCCTCTTTCCTCTCGCTGCTTTCTCGTCCCGTCTTCGTCCCTCAGCGTTTCTCTAAATGCTCTTTCTCTCTGTCCCACAGGGCGGAGAAGAAGGAGAGGTCGAGGTTAAAGACGGTCAGAGTGTCGAGGTCTCAGGACAGATCGGTGAGTAGAGACTTCTCAGATCTTTTTTTTTATTAAGACAGTAAATAAAGACACCTGAATGTCTGGACCATGGTCCACGAGGTCCAAACTGTAGTTCATGTCTTTATTACATCGTTTTCATTTGATCCAGTTTTGATTTCACATTGTAATGAAGGGAGCGCACTTCAGACTTTTACATGACATAAGATCGTCCTGTCATCATCACCGTGGGCTGCGTTTATCTATACTTGGCTTTGATTGGTCTGCACTCGAGTGCGTGTTACTACCAGCAACATGAGGCTCCTTGTTGTTTAAACATTATATCGTGAGGAGAAGATTTGTTTTGCTTCAGAATAAACTGAAAAGTCCAAAGGTCTGGACCAAAACTTACAAACCGGTATCGTTCACTGCTGTTGTTAAAAAGCAGACATTTTAGCCTGAGAGCACAAAAACTCTGGATGAGCAGCGTCTCCGTCGTGTCGGAGAACCTGCTGAATATTTGGCAAACCACCGACGACATCCCCTGACTGTGTGATGTCGTCATCAATCCGGTCAAACTAAGAAAGCACCAACAGTAATTAAGGCTTAAATAAAACACAGTAAGTTGTTTCTTTGATCTGGAAAGTTCCTCCCTGAGTTCACATGCGAGGCGACGACGTGACTTTAATCTCACTCACACATCGTGATGACGGCAGCTGACACACGAGTCTAACACCAGCTATTGATATCACTGTGTTGTCAGCTCGCTGTGTTTTCCTCGCACTATGTGAATCAGCAGCTCAGCATGATGAAGAGCTGATAATTAAAAAATATCACACACACACACACACACACACACACGTTTGTACTTCTATCTTAGTGAGGACAGTCATTGGCATTATGAATTCCCCAGCCCCTTACCCAAACCCTAACCATCCAAACTAAAAGCCTGACCCTTAACCTGACCTAAAACTAATTCTGACCCTAAAACCAAGTCTTCTGTTGTTATTATCTTGGGCGTGATAATTAATTCTGTCTCTCTCTCTCTTTCTCTTTGTCTCTCTCTTCCTCTGCAGGATCAGGATGATAAAGGTAGGTAGTCTTTCCATCAGCGACACCTGCTGGTCAGTACGGTATTTTACACCACTGTGCAGTTCTCTTTACCTCCTTCTTCAAGGAACATGATGTCGAGGGAGGTCGGGTTGTTTTAGAGGATATTTGTTTAATCACTTCATCATTCGGACATCGGGTGATGTGTGGTTGTTTAATTTAATTGGATATCTGCTTCCAAACTTTGCAAAAGTAAAAAGAACAAAACACACATGCTTCAAATGTAATTGATGGAGATGAAATCCATAGATCTATCAGTTTGACCTGTTTATCCCTAGTCCTGCAAATTTATGGAAGTACAATACCCAGAGTGCACCTTTTACATTTACATTTTAGAAGCTGTACTTAGTTGTGCTGTCATCATTTACATACACGTATTCTACTTTTGGACAAGTCCTGCATACTGACCGAACAATGCAAGATGAAGTGTGTGTTAAGGATGGAAGTCTGTGTGTGTTTTTATGTGTGATTGGCGTGTGCTTGTGTGTATGTGCTTCTATGTGTGTGTTTGTGTTGCTGACTCTGACCTGTCTTGTCCTTCCAGAGCTGGTAACCTCTGGCACCAGCGATAGTGAGAGTAGTTCCTGTAAGTCTAGACCCTCGTCTCTGTCTCTGTCTCTCTCTCTCTCTCTCTCTCTCTCTCTGTCTCTGTCTCTCTCTCTTCTTATTTTGTTTTTTGTTTGTGGTGTGTTTGTCTCTGTGTGTCCTTGTGGGATTGTCATGCATACATTAACACAAATACATGTATTTGTGTGTTGTGCTTATAGTGTTTTTATGTGCATGTGTGGGTGTGTGTGCACGTGTGTGACGTGTATGTGCGTGTGTGTGAGTGCGTGTGTGTGTGAGTGCGTGTGTGTGTGTGTCACCTTCCTCTGCTTCTCCAGCCTGATGTTTCAGAGCTGTTGATGAAGCCAAAAGTGAAAAATGGAAAAGGATGAGGTTGTGTTTTGATGATTTTCCTCCTCTGCTCCTCTAAACGTGTCATTTCTGTTTGTCCAATCAGCCGGTCAGGAGGAGACTTTACTCACCTACCAACCTGTCATGCAGCAGGAAGGTCAGAGCTTCACCCTCTCATTTTATTTTGATTCACTTTATGTTTTTCAATCATGGACGTTGATAAAAACACCCTTCTCCATTTGCAAAGTTAAACTCTATAAATGCTCATTGTAATAAATAGGATATAGATTACAAATATATCGTCCTGTATTAATGTGTAAAAATGATTATATAGAATATATACCAAAATTCAATGGCTTTTCTTGGCCACTTGGCGACAGCAGAAAAAAGCTGCACACATCACTGACATGCAGAGTTGTTGTGTTTCACATGTGAGCAGCCACATGTCTGTTTATACATCAAGCAGACATGTTGTAAGTCCAGTATTTACTCTCTGTTCAGCTCCTGAGGAAAATATCCGGCTCTTATTGGTAAACTTTGAACACTTGTTTACTGACATTGAGCCGTTGAGCTGTAAAACCAGAGCAGTCACTTAAAGACTCTGTAGAGCTGCAGCGGTGGATGACAAGTCTTTGTGGATTTGACACTAAGAGCCGCGCACAATTATTTCACCTAATATTGATTCTTAAAAATAATGAATAGCTTCAAAGATACTTGAATATAATTAAAAGGAGAAAAGTGGATGCTGTTGTGTTGTCATCACTTAAATCATCCTAATTTGTGTCTTCCTGTTTATCGATGTGGTTCTGTTTCTCTTTTTCAGTTAATTACACGCGGCCAGTCATCGTGCTCGGACCGATGAAAGATCGGATCAACGATGACCTCATCTCCGAGTTCCCTGATAAGTTTGGCTCATGTGTCCCACGTGAGTCTCGTATAAGAACTGACCTCTGAAACGTACAGAAACGTACAGTATAGGTTACCTATGTTGACCTTCACTCACATTATGAAAACTGTAAAATCATGTTTATGATGCCGTAACAGATGCTGACTCCTCAGACTCCTGTGATGTTTATGTGTTATACATCTCAGCACTTTTTTACGAACTCACTTGAAATTGATGTGTAGCTTGAAGCAAAACTGAAAACACAGCGGTTTGCTCCCTCACGGGGTCGAGACGAGTGTGAATTGAAATTTCAAGTCAAAGATTAAAATGAATCGAAATGAATATACAGTTGTATTTCATTTCCTGTAAAGTTTCAAACCTGAAAGTTGGTCTGAATAATAAAAAAAAATATTATCGAAACCGTGATATGGCCTGGTGTAATATGTAATTGCTGCAATTTCTTGATAAAGGTCAAATGTGTAACAACATAAATGAAGAAATGTGATGCTACACAGACGCCTCAGGCTGCAAATCATGTTCTCCGGACATCAGGGAACAAACCTGTTGTTACAGTTTTCTTTAACACAAGGACCTGATCTATTTTTTAACACTGTGTAAAACCATTGATCCTCAGACACGACGCGGCCGCGGCGAGACTACGAGGTGGACGGCAGAGATTACCACTTCATGTCCTCCAGAGAGCTCATGGAGCAAGAGATCCAGGAGCATAAATTCATCGAGGCCGGACAGTACAACAACCATCTGTATGGAACCAGCATACAGTCTGTCCGAGAGGTCGCCGACAAGGTGAGACGCCGAGAGACGTGACACGGTGGAGGAGAGGAGGAATAAAACAAACGGCAGAGGAAACAGCGTGAAGGGATCGATGGAGGACAGAACACACAGAGGAACTTAATGATTTCTCTCTCTCTCTCTCTCTTTGTTTGATGCTCTCTCTCCACCAGGGTAAACATTGTATACTGGACGTATCAGGGAATGCAATAAAGCGTCTCCAGATGGCAGGCCTCCATCCCGTCGCTATTTTCATTAGCCCACGCAACGTCGACAACATCCTGTGAGTAAAGTTACTAACGCCAGTGAATCTCACCATAAGGTCCAGTCAGTAACAACCTTTTCCATATCACATGGTTCTTATCGGAGCTCATTAACCCACCTCTGTCATCACATCATGGGACCTGCTGAACTCTGGGGAGTTCATATTCCTGGAAAAAGATGTTGTAAAAATGTAATTCTGAAACTGTACGTTACGTCTCAGTTGTGATTTGTGACTCTCGTCTGTCTCCAGAGAGATGAACAAGCGCTTCACTGAGGAGCAGGCGAGGAAGACGTTCGACCGAGCGGTCAAACTGGAGCAGGAGTTCACGGAGTACTTCACCGGTTAGTTCCACACCGGACCACACATTCACGAGCCAGAGCTGTTTTCCCACAAACACCTGAACCCACTCATGTTCTGAGAGAAATCAGAAAACTTTACATCTTCTAAATAAAACCCCTGACGCTCAGCTCGTCTCTCCTCTTTTCCTGTAGTTGAGGTGGTCAGGTCTAGTTCCCTCTCTTGTTTCGTGCTGTGTCTTTGTGTTGGTCACTAAATAGTTTTTTACTATTTCTAATAATAACAATAATGATGATTATATTGACCTTTACTGGTATCGTCTCATTTAATGGAGTTTTTGATTATACTTTATTTTCCGTGTGTTATATATTTGGACAAATGTTTGCTGTGTGGTTGACCCAGTGTCTCTGTGTCTCTCTGTGTGTCCCTGTCTGTCTCTGTGTCTCTCTTTCTCTGTGTGTCTGTCCCTGTGTGTCTCTGTGTGTCTGTCTCTGTGCAGGAATAGTCCAGGGCTCGTCTCTAGAGGAAGTTTACTCGCAGGTGAAGCAGATCGTGGAGGAGCAGTCCGGTCCATACATCTGGATTCCAACCAAGGAGCGACTTTGAATAAACACATCACACACATCACTCTTTCAATACTTCCGTCTTCTCTAATTTTCTATTATCAGCCTGCTTCCTCTCTATCTCTCTCTCTCTCTCTTTTTCTCTGGTGCACTCATCACGACGAACACACACACATTCACACGAGCACATGAACTGGGACGAGGGCTGGGACTATCTGGGACTGCTAGTTCCTGAAGAGGGAGGAGCTCAAGTCTGTCCAGCAGCCTATTGGTGGATCTTCCTACAGCTCAGTTCCTTAATGTTTAAGGAGGTGGTTTCCAATCAAGGCGACATGTACCATTATCTGATTTGATTTCATTATTGTTGTTCTTATTGTTGTTGTCGTTGTTGTTTTCATATTAATGAAGGGTAATGCATCAATGTATGGGTTTGTAATGATAATATTGTCACCAAGAGGCAGACTTTTGCACGCTGTAGCTTTAAGAGCATGTTTTCGGGAGAAAAACTTGATCTCCTCTTCCTGTCGGACCGTCTTTCCTCATGGCATCACTCCCTGTTTACAGTTTCTCTGTCGCGTCTTTTTCTTTCTACCTCTCATATCCCATCCCTCGTTCCATCCTCTCCTCTTTCGGACTTTAAATATGAGGTGAAAACTTTATAATGCGCCCCAACGTATTGGAATCAAGGGCCAGAAGGAAACTTTACGTACAATCACGGTTAAGAGAACAGCAAATATATATGAAGATATTCTGTATATGAAGTCATTTAAGACTGACTTGTAAATATTTCTTATAAATTCTCAGTCTGAATTTAAATAGAAAACTAAATTAGATTCCATTGTTTTTAAAGGGCCGAAAAGAAACCGAGCACATCGACCTCATTATGGTGTAAGAACCCATGTGGAGCCCCGAGCCTCTATTTATCAACTCTCTGAGAATACATCAAGAGTATATATTTAAAAAATACAAATTTAAATCCCTGTAAGTAAAGACTTGGACTTGGTTTATCGATTTATCCTGAAAGATTGATAATAGGTAGTGGAAGCAGCGAACTTCCTGAAGCTAATAAGAGTGACTGAAAACATCTGAACCCACAGCAGAGGAGAGTAGCAACAGGCGGAGTGGTGAGAAGAGAGAAGTCAGTGTGACATCTACAGGATTTTAAAGCTGCTATTTAAAGGTGAAATAGTTGCTTACACATAATTCATTTACTCCGAGCAGAAATAACCAATTAGAGACATGGTGCATATTATTCAACCAGAAACTTGTATTTCACTATTTCATAATTTATTCTGCGAAAACCTATAATTTAAATTATTGATTTAAAAATATAAATGAGGGAAACTGCTTTTGATGATCAAAAGAAACTTAAAGGTAGCGAAGGCTGCTGCTGGTCGATGCTCTACATCTCTACATAACAATAAAAAAAAAAAAGATGATTATTAGAATTTAGTGTCACACTGACAAGTGGAAATCAAATGATTTTAGTTGTGTTCTTGTTGTACCCCTAATAAGTAGATGAAAAACTGGTGTAAAATCGTATTAAATGTTCAAATCAAATCCAAATAACATGTAAACATGTTGCTCATCATGACAAAATTTATATTTTGTACAATTCCATTAAGACTACATTGTCTTAATGTCAGAGTATAAGCTACTTTATGTCAAAGGAAATTTAAATATATTTTAGTCAAGTGAAATTCAAGTGAATGATTTTTGGATTTATCTTTCACTGAAGTTCAAATTTTAATTTTTAGCTCCTCGATAAATTAGGCACTGATCCTCTGATAAAGAAACTTGAGTATGTCCCACCATTGTTCCACTGCCCTTCTTTCCTCCCTCCTCCTCCTCTTCTCTTTTTCACGTCTTCATTTCCTCCTCTTGTCCTCTCGTCTCCTTTCCTCTCCACACTCATGTGACATTAGTTGAACATTGAACAGTGTATCATCATCATCATCTTCTTCTGCACTATCATCACGATCATAATCATCAGCATCATCGGTTTAGCTTTCCGTCTTACTGTTGCACTAACGAGGGCTGGTTTCATAAAAGCATCTTAGTGTCACAGGTCTGATACCGTCCCAGTGATTCTCTGGTATTTATTGATGTTTGACGCATTCATTTGTCCTTCAGCTGATCCACTGCTTTATTAAACTGGTCGGAAAGCCCTGAAGAGAGGACACGTTTAGCATTTAGCAACTAACGAGCTGAATCTTCCCCTCAGAAGTCGGTGGGGACCAAAAACGGAGCTAAAGGAGAGTGAAGTCGAAACTGCAGCTTAACTGAAACGAACGACAATAATCTGCGTTGTCAAGTGAAACATTCAAGATGCTTTTGGTGCCACAGCCCCCTTATGGACCTTGTCAGCCAAACCACGACCCATCTCCACCCTCAACCCCCATGGCGACTCCTCCACGCTGACTGGAGACCAGAGACACACAGAGAGACTGTTCTGTCGGCACAGTAGCTCCTAGACCCAAACACTGGATAGTTTTGACCACGCGTGTTTGGAAAGCTTTAATATCTCCTCACAGAATGTTCAGCTAAACTCAAATTCTCTCCTCGTGTATTCCTCTGTGCGACTCGAGTAGATCAGTGGTGTTCGTCAGTTGACAGGAACAAACTCTCTGTATGACTCCGGCTGTGTGTTTCTAGCCAGGGGACCATGCCACTGTCTGTTAGAGTAAAGCACTGATGCAAAGAATCTATTACAGAGATGGATCTATATCTAACATATTATAATATTTATCCCTGCTCTAACTGCCTATTTTGGTACAAAAATGAATAAATAAAAGTCTTTATTGACATCTACTGAAATCCTTCCACTAATTACCAGATATGATTTGTTTTCTTTTTGCTTTGTGGAATGTGAATGAATTGTGAATATGATATAATAACTGTAAAATATTAATGTATTTTCCTTTACTTTCACCTCTACTGCAGGTTTCGGACACTGTGAATATCTAATATGGCTCTTTCATAGCGAGTGTATAGCGAGTGTAGTAAGATATCTCAGTATTACTTATGAACAAACTTCTCTTGACAAGTTTATTTTTATGATACACATCAATGCAACTCTTCCAACTACAGAATAGGACCGTTTATCCATTGTCCCCATCTGTGACATCTGCATTTAGGTCAAAAGACCAGTGCATTAACTGCAAATACAAACTTACACATTCAAGCTAACCTGTATCTCTCTCACAGAATCTCAACAAACCCGCTCCTCTGTTTACTGGGTGACGTCTCACAAACTATTAATATAATTTAAAGCCTAAGCACATTTTTTTATTCTTAATATTCCAGTAATAATCCTGAAAACCCTGAAACTGTGCAACAGACTGCAGCAAATACTGGCTGACTTTTCTTTTGCACATGATGATGAGGATGACGTTCAGCAAACAGCTTCTAATGCACGACTTCAAATCTGAAGTCCCACTCGTGGCTCCTGGACACAGAGGTTTTCATTGTACACTGAGTTGTGCCTGTATAAACACACAAGCCTCATCAACTCTGCCTGAACACAACTTGCCGTGTTTCACACAAAACCCTGGTTTGCTTCTGTATTAATTATTTACCATCTTAGTCTTTATCTATCTATCTTTCTCTCTCCTCTCATACTTCCCACCACTCTCACTCGCTGATGCTGCTGCAGTTAATCATTCACTGACCATCACAGTAGGATGTTGTTCGGTATGAATGAGGTCACACCAGACCAGAAGAAGACCTGAACTCAAGGGAAGTGGAACTCTTTGGCCGGTGGCTTGTTGTTTGGATAAAGACAAAAGAAGAGGCTCTAAAATACTTCCTTGAAGAACACCATTTTCAATATCCTGTGCCAACGACATAAAATTAACTAAACCAACAATATTTTTCACAACCAATAAAAATAATGCATTATAGTCAGGCATGGGACTCAAACACTTAATTTTGTCTTCTTGTAAATTCCTTGGAAGAAACTGTGGCTTTTAACAAAGCCTGAGATTTCATCTACTTTCAGCGAACGTCTTATCTAATCTGTCTGTGTCACTAACTCAAGTCCAAGGTTCAGATCATAACACTTTGACACAATTACAGGTAATATCCTGCAGTAAACCACTGTTATCAAACTCAGACACTAACTGTTCAACTAATGTTGTAATACAACACAGTGCTGTTCACTCAGGATTCTCTGTGGATTCACGTTGTTTTGATATTTTAGAGAAAGGTAGATTTGCAGTGGTGACAGCGGAGGAGTAATAAACACACCAGGAGAGGATAATAGCTCCGTCCAGACACCTGGCTGTCACCTCCATGTCAAATATTAAGTTGCATTAGCTGCACTGTGTCACACAAATATTGAGATACAACCAACTAACGTTTTCATATTAACCTTAAATATAAAGAAAAGTAAATTCAAGTTAAAGTATTTATTGTAAACCACTTCACTTTTAAAAAAACACCTGACTTGAATTGATCAATTCAATGAATGTGCTGCTGAGAGTTCACTCAACTCATTAAATCAACTTTTACAAAACACAGAATTCTCAGCATAGAAGGAAACGTTCATAATGGAAACCTGCTGTAGCTTGATGCATGTTTTGATAAGTGTCTTCTAACAGCAATGAGAACATTGTGAACCACGATGAAGGTCCATTTTGAAATCAATCCCTGCCTTCAGATGTTCAGCAGCTGCTAGTTTCTTTTTTGCAGTGAAACTTGGACTTTATAGGATTTAAGTTAATCTGTAGTATACACACTGTTTCATTTGATTATAGGTTTCAACTATAGATTGTCTAAGCTTTATTAATCTTACCACCCATGCTAGGTGTAATGTTTATGGCTGGATACTTAGAGCAATTGCAGGTTTTATGATGAGGCTAGCTTCCTGTGTTTCACCAAATATATGCAGAAATATTTAATGACGTAAGTTTTAATTTAAAGTGTGCAACAGCTGGCAGAACCTTTTGCAGCCGTATGAAGTTTCCTAACTGTACTTTGTTATTCTTACTGATTGTGATGAACTGATTTTTTGATATCAGTTCATCAAATGTCCAAATTATTTGTATTGCATCTAAGACCCAGGCTTTATTCTCTATCTTTCAATGTTGAAGAAAGTGATACAAAATGAGTGGCTTCTTCCTTATTTAGCTCATGTTCCATCCTTCCACCAAGTTTCATAGAAATCTATCATGTAGTTTCTCCCATTCCAACAGCACATCCATGAACGGCTCGAATTGCTGTCACTCTCTATGTCACATGCAGGTGTTTACATCCTATTGGATGGTTAAGTCTAAATATGCATTAATAAACCACATTGTGTCCTCACGTCTTGCCACTGGTGAAGGACGAGAGAAGTTGGTGAGAGCTGAAGTTGGTGCCTCTGTGTCTGGGTCGTCTGAGGTAGATATGAAAGTCCCTCAGTGTAGACCTGTAGTCAATGTAGTCAATGTACTGCTGGTTGATACTTTATCTATAACCTGACCTTGGGTATCTGTGGAACTAGACAGGCACTATTCTCTTAATGGACAGAAGTGATGTGTAATATGCATTATATATAAAAAAATATAGTGGCATATAGAGTTATGTGTGAGGATCGTCAAAAACTCCTCAACACTGGTACCTCAGTAATTGGTCTGACTTTTTCCACCATGTGCAGCCGGAGTACAGAGACTCGATTCAACCCAGAAAATCAGCAGTGCAAGGTTTTACCTCGTTTACACCTTCTTAGTTTCATGTCCACAGTCGAGTTATTATTTTTTTGGCTCAGCTCAGTTTTCGCTTTTATTAACCTCAGTTTTCTGTTTCAGATAAATTCAGCTTCTTAGATTGAGGTGAGTGTAAAACAGGTAAACAGCCTGTGTGTCTGTGTTTCTCTCAGCAGGGGTGAGTCACTGACCAACGCTGACATGAATCTTTTCCTCTCTGCCCATCAGTGGAAAGCACCACAGTAGTAGAGCAGGGGAGAGAGAGCGGAGAGAGCAGAGGTGGGGTCCTGACTGTAAAAGGCGTCTCTGTCTGGACTCGGGCCTGCAGCCAGTCAGCAGCACCAGCAGAGACGTGTCAGACCAGGTACTCACTCTTTCATAAACACTCAGAGTCCCATGATTCCTGAATGACCGGTGACTGGGTTGTAAATCACTAAAAAAACGACCTCCTCTCAGCTCCACTCGAGGACTTTAAGCTGAGTCTTGAAGATAGAAGCTGGACTTTGACTCTGGAGGCATCATATAAAGTGGAGGAGAAGGCTGTTTTACCTTTTAACAGACGGAGGAAGACGGAGCAAGGCCATGGCCGCGTGGAGGACAGTGGGAGCTCTGCTGCTGATTATACCTGCAGGTAAGAGCTGCTTCACCAAACTGGAGGGAAATAAAGTGTGTTTTATTTTCTGTTGAGTTGAGTTGAGTTGATCTTTTTCCCTGAAATAATAAAACTCTTTTAGATTAGTGAAGATATTAATATTAAACTATCCAGTATTTAACAAATCAAATATGTGAGAAACATAAAATAAAGAGTTACTACACATATTTTTTTACATCTTGTTATTCAGCTTGTACTTCCTCATATTTATTTTTAAACTTCCAGCGTGGGGGGGGGGTAACATTCTAAGACAGAAAGTACAGTGGAGGGACAGATTACTTAATGGGCCTACAGGTCCCTGTGTCCCCTAATGACCCAGAAACACATAAAACAACCACAAAGACACATACAACGACCACAACGATATGCAAGATGACCATAAGTAACATACAATGACCACAAAGACATGACTAATGACAGTTACTAGAAGTGGTGAGTCATTGACTTGTCTGTCCTCAAACGCCCATTGTATCATGGTCCATGGTTTCAGAGGTTGACTCCTCCAGATGTTCTTTCATGAATCACGTGGTGAAGTATTTCTGTGACTGAGCGGCGAGCGGTCTCTGTGTGTCTGTCCCTCAGTGTTTGGCCAGAAGAGCATCAGCTGGTGCACCATCTCAGATGCAGAGCAGAGGAAATGTGAGGCCATGTCTCAGGCGTTCGCCGCCGTCTCCATCCATCCATCCCTCAGATGTGTCAACGGATTGACAGTGGAGGGCTGCGTTCAGAAACTGCAGGTCTGGTTTTTAAAGCAGGAACAGGAATCTTTAAACCTCACTGAACACGTTCATCATCTGTGATTACTGTAGTTTAATCATACTGACTCGTGCACTGTGGATTGATGAAGATAAGTATATCAAATATTAATGACACTAAATTAATTTTAACGTCAGGAATAGAATAATTAATTGAGCATCAGATAACAGACAGCATGCAAAGTTGCAATAAACTTCTTAATCAGTGATTCAGTTATCAGAGCGAACGGAGTGAACAGGCTGTTTGTGACAAACACAAACTGATCTGTGAACAGTCTGCAGAAGCTGAACGAGTAAAACACAAGTGCAAATAATTTGTAAATATTTGATATGCACCAAAACCATAACATTTTTCTCTTAAAGCAGTTTTAACTAGTGGCTAAAGTTAAAAGGAGGAATGCGGTTGTTTATGTTCCAGAGATTTATCCCTTAATGTTTTTAAATCCTCCTGAGGCCACGGAATATTCTCCAATATTTGTTGCACATGTTTTTTTTATTTCTTACCTGTGTCTCTGCAGAGAAAAGAAGCTGATGCTTTGTCCATGTCAGCGGCCGACATCTACCAACTGGGAAAGACCGCCTCCTTCAAGATGGCCGCCAGTGAAGTAAAGAAAGACCGTAAGATTTGAATAATGATTTAAACACAGACATGACACGATCAGACATTTCTTTTTCTTTTTTCTATTGAGCCAGTTTTAGCTTTTGCAATGATCTGCGGTTTGTAATGATTGTGCCAGAAACCATCGGCAGTAACTTTAATAACGTCAGCCATGTTGATGAAGTGAGTCAGAGGACCCTCTTCACCCGTCTCCTTCCCTCAGGGGGAGGAGAGGGAGGCCAATTCTAACTTAATCTATTTATTTGTCTCATCAGCCGCTATCGATCAGTTGACTGTTCCGTAGACGACATGTTTTAACGAGAACAAACAGACAGAAAAATATTAATACAATATTTGAATCTGCACAAAACTGCACACATTCATAAACTTTTGACGATATGTGATAATCCTCTTTTTCGATCTTGTTTATCATGAATAAGGAGGAAGCTCATGCAGAGAGTCAATACAGATGATCTCTGAGCAGCATGCGACTTATTTCAACATCCACTTTTATCTAGATCTCATTTCTGGTCTGAAAACGACACGTTGCTGTTAAACTTAGTGTTCCAGTGTTTACGTGTGTGAACACCTCTGCTGTTGTCGCCTCAGGCACCGGAGCCTCTTACTACGCAGTTGCTGTGGTGAAGAAAGCAAATCAAGCCATCAACATCAACAACCTGGCAGGAAAGAAGAGCTGCCACACTGGGAAGGGCCGAACGGCTGGCTGGAATATGCCTCTGGGATACTTCATAGACCAGGGATACATGTCTGTGATGGGCTGCAAGTTCTCACAGGGTAGGACAGATTTTCATTCTCACAATTACATACATGTACAGAACATACAGACAGCTGGAGAGAGGCATGTGTGTCTGTTTGTGTTCAGGAGTGGCAGATTTCTTCAACGCGAGCTGCATCCCTGGTGCCAACGAGGTCGGTGACCCCAAGTCTCTGTGTCAGCTGTGCAGAGGAGACGGGAATGGAGCGTTCAAATGTGACAAGAGCCCCAAGGAGATGTACTACAGCTATGAAGGAGCTTTCAGGTGACACACATTCATACTCACACACAGAGAAGTTACTGTCGATGTTCTGTCCTTTCCTTGGTTGCATCCTTTATTCTCAATGTCTTCTCTTTTGGTTCGGCCTCTGTAGATGTCTCGCTGATGGTGCAGGAGAGGTGGCCTTCATCAAACACACAACAGTGGAGGAGAACACTGATGGTAACATCTATGAAGGAGGAAACACCAGAAATAGAAACATCTTGTTATGATGAAATTAATTAAATAATGTTGAAATCCAATCTTACCACAAAAATGAACACTAACAAACATCAGATATAAGAACCCATGTCCCATTCCTAAACATGGAGCAGGTGGGGTTTATGACCTGTATTGCAGCCAGCCACCAGGGGGTGGTCAAGGCACTTTGGCGTCATCCTTCATCATGTCGTCCATCTTTATTTACACTCTATGCGTCTGTTCACTCATCAGTTGTTGTCTCACCAGGTCTTGGCCCAGAATGGGCAAAACTACTGAAGTCAGCAGACTATGAGCTGTTGTGTCGCGACGGCACCAGACTTCCCGTCTCTCAGTGGAAAACGTGTCATCTGGTCCGCATCCCATTCCGAGGCATCGTGGTCGGCAGTGATGTCACTCCCTCCGTGGTGTTCAACATGCTGAACGAGGGTCTGGTACGTCTTCACTCACAAACACCGTCACAGTAACCAGCCATGAAACTAGACCTCTGCTCGTTCATTAGGCCGGTCTCATTTTTCTGTCATGTGAGTGGACATTTTCTAAAAAAGAAACTTGGGTACAAAAGTTCCATCTAAACCTTTAAATCTTAAAGCAAATATGCAACTTTCTAATCTTAAATATTAGCTTAAAAATGTGTTTGTCGGTTCGCTGACTGTGAACATGGAGAATGTTTCCTCTTTTATTCCCACTCCGAATCCTAATCGTCTGTTGAGAGTCGCAGCTTCACTCGTCAGACTCAGGTCCAGCAAGTTGACCTGAACTGTAGATCAGCTACAAAGATTTAGAAGTTATTAAAAACCAACGTTTATCTACAAAACTTAGCAGGAAACTTTTCAAATATGAAGAATTCTGAGCTTCTGAGTTTGGTGGATTTGTTACAGAGGCAGCTCCCCTGGTTCAGGAAGCTGTGGATTATGGGTAATATCCATGTGGTGGAAAGCGATCGTAAAGCCAGCGTTGTCTATAAAGGTCCAATGTGAACGATTTAGGTGAAGAAGTGCCTCGTGTTTTATGAATGCATGTTGTATAGTGGGTGGGAGTGAAATCAGGCCAAGGTCGACCAGTGAGAGGAAAGAGAGGTGAGATTACAGAGAGGTCGCTCTGTCCTCTCTGCAAACAGATAAGAAAATATTTGTGAGCTGAAACATTTGGTGATTATCAGACTTCAGGAGCAGGAGGTTCAGCTCTGTCACGATCCACCACTGTGTTTCAGTTCAGTGATGACAAGTCTTACTGATACGAATTTGCTTCTGTGTGGAGCGCTCAGCCGACCCACCGTTCTCAGTCATATCTCTCTAGTGCTAAAAGAGGGCGTCCATATGATGGCGTGTTACTTCTTGTTTCTAGGAAAAGTCGGACTTCAAAATGTTTTCATCTGCGGAGTACGGAGGAGGAACGGTGCTGTTCTCCGAGTCAACCGTCACATTACAGGAGGTGGCGTCAGACGACCCAAAGAGTTGGATGGGCCGGTACTATAACAACGCTCTCAGAGCCATGGACTGTAAACCAGAAGGTGAATCTATCTATCTATCCATCTATTTATCTATCTATCTATCTATCTATCTATCTATCTATCTATCTATCTATCTATCTATCATTTGAAGCAGTAAGTTTGAAACAAATCCACATTTAAGGGAATTGAAGGTGTTTGTTTAAAGATTATTAATATTTCTATCTCCGTATCTTTACTGTCACACAACATTCATGCATTCACACGTCACACAGTAAATATTTAATAGAGGCTTAGAGAAGTTATTGATTAAGTCATCGATGAAGAAAGAAAGATGTTGCTTTCTTTGTGCAGCAGCTATATTGATGTATTATTCTCTATGATTTATTTATTTCTAAATCTTCCCTTCTTTGCTGCTCACTCGTCTATTTATCTGTAATTATTCCAGATGTTCTGCGGTGGTGTGTGTTGACCAGCGCCGAACAGCAGAAGTGTGCTGACATGGCCAAAGCCTTCAGAGTTAAAGGTCTGACTCCAGACATCCAGTGCGTCTATGGAGACTCTGTGACGGACTGCATGAGCAGAATCAAGGTGACACACGTTTCCTGCTTTCCTTAAGAACAACTACAGTGATATCCACTTCAAAATAAAAGATCTAGAGCCTGAAGAGTGTTGAGAGTGAGATACTGATGTTATCATTCAAGAGTTAATCCAAAAGAATCTGAAACTTGTTATATGAGCTGATATTTGTTGTTTAACATGAACACGTAAACCTCATTTTAATTAGTTTAGTGATGCACTGACCGCCAAACCTAGAATCACAAATCTTATTATCACATTCACATGTTTAGGAATGATATTTATCAGGGTCAGCATCTTGATTTAGCTTGTTAGCAGGTTGAATTACCACTAAAGTTTACGTGAGGCTAGTGTCATTTGTTTTAGCTTTTAGCTTTTGGATGTCTTGGCTTCACTTATGGGAGCTGTCATGTCGTCCATCTTTACAAATCGGTCTTTGGTTTGGACGCTAGAGCAATTGACCAACCATCCGCACGCATGTTAGCATGACTGAGGAAAACACTTCTGCTGTTTCAAACTCTTTTTATATTTCATCTTGGCGTACAGAACAAGGAGGCTGATGCCGTCACTCTGGATGGAGGTTACATTTACACAGCAGGCAAAGACTACGGCCTTGTCCCTGCTACTGGCGAGAGCTACACAGGTTAAAAACCCCGACACACAAACAAGACCACAGCAACACGTCCTGGATTCAAACACAGCTCATTAAAACACAGTGTTTTTCTCTCTCTGCAGAGGAAAGCGACGGCTCCATATACTACGCTGTTGCCGTGGTGAAAAAGAGCAGCCTTGGCATCCGTAGCCTTGACGACCTGCGCGGCCTTCGCTCCTGTCACACCGGATACGGTCGCTCGGCCGGCTGGAACATTCCCGTAGCAGCGCTGATGGAGAGAGGCCTGATCGCCCCTCAGCACTGTGAGATACCCCAAGGTCAGTGAGATGTGTGAGAGTTAGCGAGTGTGGCAGAGGTGAGAGCTGGAGCGAGAGAAAAGTGTATAAAATATTAAAAAGTCCCATCATGCCCCTCTCTACTTATATTTGCTGTATATCTTTACAAACCCAGTGACTGTTGTAAATTCATTGTTAAAAGCTTCACAGTTATGTTTTCGAGGTGTATTTTGAAATGACTTCTCGTACTGCAGGTGTAAAACATGTTTGGTTAGTGTTTGACTTTTCTGTTTCCCGTCTCTCCCATGATGCTCAGCGGTGGGAGCTTTCTTCAAACAGAGCTGTGTACCAGGTGCCAATCAGCCTGGTTTCCCCAGCAACCTGTGTGGTTCGTGTGTGGGAGACGCCTCAGGACAGAACAAGTGTGAGAAGGGCAAAGACCTGTATGATGGATACAACGGTGCATTCAGGTACACGACACTGGAACATCACAAAACACTGACCCACTTCAAGTTTCCTCATTCTTAATTCCCCGTTTTTATTATATGATATCCTCAATATTAGTTTACATAGAAACTTGTGTCTTTCCAGTATAACAAGTGATCCTATGTGTTTATTTTATGACCAGCAGTTCTGATTATTTCACATTTGTTGCTGGCAAATCTGTTTTGTTTATCAGTTTTGCATGATGCACGGTTGGTAATACTACAATGCCCATGATCCTAGTTCCTGTTGCAGTGGGAAAGAGGCCAGCAGCACATTCACAACACTTACTTATTGAATTTGGGGGGAAACAAACATCGGCTTTCTCACATTCATCCAAGAAACCAAAAGTAAATCTCCAGATTTCATCATAACTTCAATCTTTCACCTGTTGCTTGAGACATGAATCAGGAATTTTAAGCTCAGCGACTGGATGTTTTCTTATTGTACAATTCCCTGCATCTTTATTTAAAAAAAACAAAAGAGCAATATGTAGAGGACTGGTTATTTGAACTCATGCCCCAAACTACACGTGTCTTTCTGTCTTCTTTCAGGTGTCTGGCAGACGGAAAAGGAGACGTGGCGTTCGTCAAGCATTCTACCGTCTTCCAAAACACAGATGGTGAGACGAGTGACTTCAAGATACAAAATGTTCCTCTCAGGTTTATGAGGGACATAAAGTGAACCACCTGCCTCTGTGTGTTTATTCAGGTAACTCTGGAGAATCGTGGGCAGCGGACCTCCACTCCGGAGATTTCCAGCTGCTCTGTGCTCATGGCACTAAAGCCGATGTCTTGCAGTACAAACACTGTAACCTGGCTAGAGTCCCTGCCCACGCCGTGATGGTACGGCCAGACACCAACATCCACGCCGTCTATGGACTCCTGGACCGCGGACAGGTAGGAGTGTTGGTTCTGTGGATAGAAGAGAGTGACACGTAACGCTTCAGAGTAAAGGACTTTAGTCTTTGTAAAAGTTGTGTCATCATCATAAAGTCATGAAGCTCCAGGATTTCTAAATAATTCTTCTCTAAATTAATCCTATTAATCATTTTTCATTGAAAGAATGAATAGCTGGCTGCCAGTGATATAGACTTTGCTGTTAGACAATCAAATCCAAAAGAGAGAGAAAAGCAATCACCTCATGTTGGTAAACAAAAGTGACGATAAAAATACAAATAAAATATAATATATAGTACGTAAATTAATAATAACAGGAGAATAATCAACTCATTTTACAATGCATGTATTATTTTAATTTGACAGTGAGATGAATGGTCATGAAGTCATAACTGATTTGTAGGAGACACATTCTGTTGGTCAGCTCCTGTGATTTCTCATCTGTCTTTGTCTCCCTCTCTCTCTCTCTCTTTCTCTGTAGACATTTTACAGCACAGACACAGGTGATAGTTTCAGGATGTTTGACTCGCAGGCCTATAAAGGCACAGATCTCATCTTCAAAGACTCCACTGTTCGCCTCATGGGTGTCGGTGACAGGAAGACCTACCAGGAGTGGCTGGGACAGGCCTACATGGACTCACTGGTTATGATGGAGTGTAATTCATCAGGTGCAGGTAAATAAAGATTAATTTAAAATAAATTTCTCATCTTCTGACAAAGTGCAGATGCAATCAATAGATAAATAAAATTTCCTGTTTGTCACTTTGTTTTGACAAGTGAATAAAGATCTCAGTCTCTACTGCAATAAGACCTGATATTAAAAAGGTGGCATGCTTCTTCTTAATGAAAATCCAGGCAGGACTGTCTAAGATATCACAGATGATATAATTTACCAAAAATTGATGAGCAATAAGCGTCCTAAGAGGGGAGATGAAAAATTCTCATTCCGTTGTATATGAGACATGTAGTCTTGTGGATGGATGGAAGATAAATGGACAGAAGGATGAAGGAATACAGGAATAAAGAATAATGCTGCTTTCAGACACTGAACTATGTAATGCGTTTTTCCGACCAGCCAAGTTTTATGTTTGAAAACAACTTCAGATGCAGTTTAGGGAAACTGATACGAATTTCATTGCACAAAATAACCACAATCTCTCGAATTGTTTACAATATTATTAATATTTCCCAATTTCTCCTCCTCTCACAGTGATGTCGTCCATGTGGCTGCTGCTGATGACCCTGCTCAGCCTCGTCATGACCCACCTCTAGATATAAACACACAGAATGACACTCTGCCTCTAATCCCTTCCTCTTTTTATTCTTCCTCTTTTTCTCTTCATCTCTCTCTTCCTCACCCACCACAGTATATCTCAGCCCCTTGTGCTTTTCAGGAGACACTCTCCCTCTCTCCTTCTATCCCTGAATGTGTTTTTAAATCGTGAAATAGCAGAACCTCGACCCGATTGTGTGATATTTTAATCTACGAGATGGGAGGCATGTTGGAGCTGCCTTTGGATTTAAATAGTTCTTTCAGCCGGTGTCAATCAGGCATCGCTGCCATGTTGTTTACGGAGGGTGAGCTGCCATATCAGTGTGTATGCTGCCACCTGTTACATTGCATTAGTGGGTACTAGTGCCTGTCTGTCCAAAGCTTGTTTTACAAAGTTCAGCCAGTTTGACCATTTGCAAAGGTTTTCATGTGGACGTAGAAATCAGATTGTTGTTCTGCTGCCACTTGATATGTCAGAACTGGAAAAGCCTTTTCTTAGTTCAGGCTGTGTTTCTCATAGAAGCTAATGCCATATCAGTGAATATGCACTAGTGTTGCCTCCACACAGAGCTGTGGTCGGGACGTTGTTATGATGTATTCTCCTCGAAAGCTTAAAAGTTAAAGATATAAATGATTAAATTCATCCAGTTTTATTCATAATGATAATAATAATCTTTATTTCATTTCCGTTGCACTTTTCTTATTGCTTTGCAAAAGGATTAAACAAGAAATGTTAATACAAATAATTAATTAATTAATAAATAAAAGGAAACATTCATTTGCTGCTTGCAGATGCTTTTGCTTTTGCTGCTTGAGCCGTTTTCTTATTCTGTCACTCCGACCATTTCCCCCTCTAAAAGATTAGTTTACACATTGAGACACAAATGGACACAAACTCAGTGGTTTGGGGAGAACATGAAGAAAACTTCTTGTACTTGGATGGTTTAAAAGTTCGATGTGTGGGATTTAGTGACATCTAGCAGTGAAGGTGCAGATTTCTAAGAGTGGCCAAAATGTCAGTTTAAGAAAAACAGGTTTTGGATACTGGTTTTACTCAAATTTCCTTGTGCAAAGGTTTTTAAATAAAGTTGTAGAACAAAATAAATCACATTTGAAAAGCAATAATCGCTACTAGACTTTTCTGATATCTAAAATGCTTCCTGCTGCTCGGTACTGTTTGTTTTATAATTGATGATTGGATGTGTATTTTCCTATATGTTGAGATTTCTATTTTTATATGAAGTTCAGGTGCCATATCAGTGTATATGTACTGACTCATGCTGTCAGCAACCATCGTCTCCTTTTCCCCTTGATATGGAATTATTTCTCTGTGAAATGATGTCACATGTGACTAATATTTAGTTGCCAGACCAGTGCGTCTGCATAAGTATTAATGCATAAAGATTTTTTCTCTGCTATCTACAAATGAAATAAAGTTTATGCTGCAAAATTCACTCTGTTGAACTTTTCTTTGTTTAATATTTATGGTGTAATTTTCCACTGTTTTAAGACTCAGATCATGATTTATGAGGATTTTCATCATGGTGCAGTTATTTGTCAGACGTTAAACTCATCCAACAGATGTAAAGAAAAATAAAATAGTTGTTTGACAAGAAATTTACTCATATTTAGATTTATTGATTTAGGAATGTGGCTTTATATTTTAGCTTTCTCTTTTTTTTTAATGTGACACTTACCACTGCCTCTTTCAGTAAGAGTAAAGTATCTGGGTCTACAAACAACAACCATCTGAATCTGCTAGTGCACAGTTATCTCTACTCATATACATGTTGTAACATACTATTGTCCTGTAAGAGTTGCTAAAGCAAAGGAACTGTGAGTTACATCTCGAGGGAGAGGAACTGTGTAGAGTGATGTGAATATTAGACCATGAATAGCTTCAAACTCAAAACGCTTCTCCAGAAAACACAGAAATCAACAGATGTGGAAATAGGTCTTAGGGTCAAATCCTGCACGTCATTCTGCAAAATGAAGGTAAGATCCCAAAACACATTTTTGAGTGGAGGAGGACTTTAAAGTCTCGTCTTACAGATTCATCAGAACGACTTGGGAGATTCTGAAAACATACGATACCAACAGATACAAACAGCAGTCAAAGTGCTTCGTTATAAATAATCATCTTTATTTATACAACCAGAACTAAATGATGACTTCATTGTCAATGATAATTATATCCCTCTGAATACACATATACAGCTGATAAAAGATTCCCACTGACAACCCAATGTCAAATGAAGGAAATGAAGGTCCTGGGGAGGATTGGTGTCACAGATGATCGAGTGCTCGGCACATCGGTTAAAGACTAAACTGTCACCAGGACGTTACTATGGGGTTATTCAGACATTGCAGCTCCAGAGGTCTGGTCTATATGTTGAAATAACTTCTGAATATAACTTTCTGAGTCAGCTCCTAGGTTCCCCACAGGATGTCTAAAACACCCAGTGCACACAGCAGACGTCCATGTGTTTTCAGAGGTGAATACAGTGAATGCCATAAACTGTTTGGACACAGATTTCATGTGACTGATCATTAGATTCACAGGTAGATTCTGGATTTCTCCAGCAGGGAGTTACTCAGGAACACACTCAGGTTAAAGAAGTGACGTTTGCAGTCATTAAGTCTGTCACTTCCTCACCCAGGGTGTCCTCTTTACTTCTTGACCTGCCTGGAGCCGTCCTTCCATCCCTCCTTCACCTCGTTCACGAACGTCTCCCGGACCCTCCTCAGGCGGCTGCCCACCTCCCCCAGGTCCCCGGGGACCCTGCCGGCCTCCTCCCGGACCTGCCGCAGCGTCTGCGACCGCATGGCCCGCTCCGAGGCGTCCCGGCCGGCCATCTGAGCCTTGGTGATGGCGTAGGCGGTGATCTGCGCCGCCCTGCGGATCGGCCGAGACTCCGCCAACTTCTCCACGACGCGGAGGTTGTTGATGAGGGAGAACAACAAGCGGGACAGCATGGCGGCGGGCGTTAGCTTGGCTAGCTAAGCGTTAGCAGCCCGCGTCCACACTGCGGGGTTCTCGGCTCTGCGGGGAAAAAACGACGTGAAAGACAGTCAGAGACACGCACATCGACCTGTGATGGTTGATTCTGTCGCGTGAGCTGCGGGAGAAGTTTGAAGACAGAGAGAAGTTGACTCACAAGCAGCTGATGAGGTCACAGCTGGAGATCTGTGAGGTCATCGCGCACTGACGGCAGCGTCACGTCCCAGTTCACGCGAGAGGACGGCTGGTGTCACGTGACGAGACTGGAGCTCGTTCATTGGTTCACTCATTTGTCATGTTTCTGGATTTTTATAATATATATTTATATATATATATATGTATATGGATATATAAAAATGTACAGTTTTACAAACATTATTTAATCATGAGGTGTTCTCAGAGGAACAGTTTCTTTATTTGTTCACTTCATATTTATTGTTTCTTATCTTCCTCTCTATTTTCTACAAATAACAATGCAAATCTGTTATTAGTTGATTTTGGGAATGTAGGTATAATTATAATTATATATGTGTATGTATATATACATATATAATTATTAACTAATGATTTATGGAGAAGGGCTGAGATTATATAAATGTGTACTCCTCACTCCTTTTTGAGATTTTGAGATTAAATCATTAACTGTATTTTTTTTCTCCACTTGTCTTTATATTTCTCTTTTTTTCATTAAACTCCTGCGCTCTTATATTTTTTATCACTTTCCTTCTTTTCTGTTTTAACATTATATTTACTTTTAAGCATTTCTAGTATGACAGGTGCCGTACAAATAAAGAGCATTATTATTATTATTATAATTATTATCATCCATAAAATTCTTGAGTGTTAATTTAAATACAATCAAAATGTTGGTTTCTGGTGGGAACAAATCTCAAACGAGGTTCCCACCAAACGTTTTTTCCGGACGTTCTTATCCGGTAACACCAAATGTACTTCCGCTTCCGGCCTCAGATCTCCCTGTCACTTCCGCTCCTGCAGGTTTTCTTCCTCTCGCCGAGCTTCAGAGTTTAAAGAGACCCGGAGACTCGAGCGAAGAACCGGGCACAGCTTCGAGCGTCAGAGTGTCGAGTGACCCGGAGACCTTAGGGACGAACCGGGCTGCAGCCATGCGGGTGTTGGTGCTGTTCGCGGTGACGCTGCTCTCTCTGAGCCCGGCGGCGGTGAGCGGAGCCGAGAAGAAGAAGCTGCAGATCGGCATCAAGAAGCGGGTCGACCATTGCCCCATCAAGTCCCGCAAGGGAGACGTGCTCAACATGCACTACACCGGGAAGCTGGAGGACGGCACCGAGTTCGACAGCAGCATCCCCCGCGACAGACCCTTCACCTTCACCCTGGGCACCGGGCAGGTGATCAAGGGCTGGGACCAGGGGCTGCTGGGCATGTGCGAGGGCGAGAAGAGGAAGCTGGTCATCCCCTCGGAGCTCGGCTACGGAGACCGGGGAGCCCCGCCGAAGATCCCCGGGGGAGCGACGCTCATCTTCGAGGTGGAGCTGCTGAACATCGAGAGGAGATCCGACCTGTGATGAAGAGGAGGGAGAGGAAGAGGAGGAAGCTTCGACACGTACGTAAACACACGTTGGCGAGAGTAACCAAGTACTTTTACTCGAGTACTTTTACGTTACCACAGGTTGTAGAAATTAACAAAGTACTTTTAAGTACACGTACTTTACCACAAGTGATAGAGGATGCAGTACAGATTCACACACTTCAGACAAATCTCCAACCATCGATTAAGTTAAATATCTGCTGTTTAAGAAAACATGGAACTTTGTTTACGAGAACAACTCAGTTATTTACCTTTTCCTCATTATTAGTATTAGTTTATATTCATGTTAAAATATGCAACAGTTCATGGCTCCAGGTATTTTTAATAACATTTTGATGTTGGTTGAGCAGACGCTTCATTAAAGTGTCGCACACACAGACACAAAGTCTTTTTTCAGGATCTGAGCTCCGTCGATTCAGAAGTTTTGGTTGTGTCTTTCTGAGCATGTTATCGAAACACACTGTTCCCAGCGGGCAGCTGTTTCCTGTCGAATCGAGTCACATCAGCGATAGATGAAGAGCTGCAGGTGACAGGATGTGAAGTTTACCAAATTAATATTAGTATTACTCTAAAAATACAAATGTATTCAGATGAGATACTCTGTGTGTGCTGTTGAATAAATAAATGTTATTTTCTTCCAGGTTCCAGGAGGTGCTGCAACATAAAGTGAAGATCATCCGACCACTGATGAAGACGACACGTCAAATCTGAGAGAAGAGTCGACACCTTTCAGTGGCTTTACTAATTATGCTCTGATTTATTGGTATGAAGTTATTAAATAGCAGAACAACCGCCTGTTCTTGGAAAACATGTGTGGAACTGTCAGGTAGCAGCTCAGCCCAGTATTAGGCCGGAGGCGAATGTTAACGACATGCCCTGCTGTTTCATCCTTTTTGTAGTTGCTAATTTTATGTTACTAATGAATGGATTCATTCACATCCAAGTGTTAGTTTTACAAAATTGTTTAGGTGGTAGATTTCGTCAGACGTCAGGCCGGGGAAAAATCAGGATAACAAGTTTTTGTTCTCAGTATTTGAATTCTAATAATAAAATGTTGACCTTTCGGGAATCTACTGTCTGAAGTGTGTTTATGTTTTTTTAAACAAGAAAACAGGTTTTTAAGTTTTCATTGATCTCATTAATATTATGTGTATGTTATATTTATGGGTATTTTTTTGGATCACAGCCCTTTGGATGGGAAATGTAGTTTTATAAATTGTAAACATCAACTCAGATTTATACACTGAAATATTCTTAAATATACTGTGTTTGTTTATAGATATAACATTGAAAATGGGAAGTCAATCAGATGCAGTACTCCAAAACAAAACACAAATTTTGCTAAATAAATTGAAAATGGTGGGTCTCCTGTCAGGTTTAAGGTAAGCCTGATTGATCTGTCCCCGGAAGTTCCTGCAGGGCAACGTTACAGCAGGGGCCGGAATTTGTATTTAGTTTTTAATTGTTGGGGGGGTGTAAGATGAAAGATGAAAATTAACCTGTGTCTAAAATTCTGTGGGTTTTTGATCATGTGGAGGCCGTCGAACATGTAAGATGGAGAAAGGTAAGTATATGACACATGTTTTTTACATAACACATAACAAATGTGTATTTATCATCTAATTATCTTTTATTTCTGTTTATTTGACCTCCTCAATCTTGATCTTGTTTTCCTTCACCGACCTCGGTTTGTTTGTTGACCTGTGCTTTTTGACTCGTGCCACATTAGAAACTGTTTGTGTGAATGTGAACGGGGTGACTCGCGAGTAAATTCTCCTCCTTGGGATCAGTAAAATTGTCTGAATCTGAATGTGAACGTCACAGTTCAACTTACAAACAAATCTAAAGAGAAGCTCGACTCGGCTCTATTCTGGAAAGTCGAAGGGAAACAACAAATTCTATAACATCTTAATATTTATGTATACAAATGTTTTTTCCATCAAAGGTTGTTAAATGTCACATGTTCATATAAAACGTAGCCAAAGAATTAGACATGAACAAATCTGCCACTTTATAAATAACTTCCATCACAAACTGATGAGAGTAGAACTTTTAAATAGGGTTGTTGTTATGATGCATGTGAAGAAAGTTGTTTAAATCATGTATTTGTATTTGACATGTATGTTCTGTGTAGTATTTTATACTCGATGTACTTTGAGCCACAGTCAGGAACATAAAGTGGCACCTACAGGGGACGCTATTGTCTTCTGGTCAAATATTTCCTACCGGAGTTCTTTACGGGACGGACAAACGAACCGGAAACCTGTCCTCGTCCACATTCCGCTCAGCTAGCATCGGATTATCCGCAGATCGTGAAACAACAACAACAACTTCATCATGTCTGCGATTCTGAACGCGTTGAACAGCGACTCTTACATCGACGTCAGTCAATACAGGGACCAGCACTTCAAGGTAAAATCACCCAGCGAGGCTTCCAGCGGCGCATCACGCTAGCTAACGGTTAGCAACCGTTAGCAAACACGGGTCCAACGTGTGAGGTCGTCGCTCATTAGCTCGACTTCTTGTCTCTGTGAAACAATATGAATGTAGTTTAATGTCCCGGGTTGGATCCATTCAACAGACAAGTTTAAAAACGTCAACTAAAGCAGTAAAGTTTCACCCGGAGCGTCGGTGTTTGTAGAAATCTGTCCCCCGCACCGACTCTTATTGTCGGTTCGGGATCCCTCGTTTCCGCTCGTAACCATTTGCAGCCAGATTATAATTAAATAATCTATAAAGAATAAGATGCAGCGTTTAAATAAGAAGTTTTATTTGTTAATTACGCTGATAAACGTTCAGAGGTCGCAGTTCACTGATGAGGAAATGAAGCTGAAACTGGCAGATGATTCTTTTCTTTGTCCTTCACCTCTTTTATGTTTGACATGAGATCATCATGAGAACATCTAGGGTTTCATTTCTATGATCTGGGTTTTAATGGATTTAATCAAGTTATCAATTATTAATCAATAAAAGTGTTTGAGCATTCAAATAAAGTACTTATAATTTCCCCTCCAGTCGGTTTTAATCGTGTGTTTGTGTTTCAAAATGATTGTATTCCTTTCAAATGTAATAAATTGCACAAACACTTCTTCTCAAATGATTATCGGGTATTTTTCCTAAAACGAGACACAGAAATATCTGACTCTACTTTTCCTGTTTTAACATAATAAACTCAGAACTCTAATAATAGCTTCTGTAATAACAGAGATAAGCCATCTGTTGTTTTCTTCTTGGTTCTGTTCTGTTTTTGACAGGATATTATTTTGTTTTTTTCAGGGTAATCGTTATGACCAGGAGAAGCTGCTGAAGCAGAGCCACACTTTGTATGTGGGGAACCTCTCCTTCTACACCACAGAGGAGCAGGTACGACAGGCGACCATTTTTACTGAGTTCATCAGCTTCTTTGTTGTTAAAATACCTGATGTTTGCTAGTTTGGCACATTACATTACACACGTGCATTTAAATGTGGTTAAATTAATATTCTGTATTTCACAACAGACCTTGCTCCAATGTTGCAGGTACATGAGTTGTTTTCTAAAAGTGGAGACGTGAAGCGGATCATCATCGGCCTGGATAAAGTCAAGAAGACGGCCTGCGGATTCTGTTTTGTCGAGTATCCTTTGAAATGGAACACCCAATTAAACAATGGTGTGTTTGAAAATAGAAAACCTTGTATTCACAGACACAAAAATAATACACACACGCATCTCCATCAAACGCCTGTGACAGACCTTAACCCTCCGGCTGCACCAGATACTACACACGTGCAGACGCAGAACACGCCATGCGCTTCATTAATGGCACACGACTCGACGACCGCATCATCAGGACAGACTGGGACGCCGGCTTCAAAGAGGGACGACAGCACGGCCGCGGCAAATCTGGAGGACAGGTGGGGATTCCAGACACTTGTATGAACGTGTTAACATCACAGTGTGGATGCTGACATGTTTTTATATTCAGAAGTGAACATGCAAAGCACTGATTCGTTTGTTTTTTTAATAAAATATAATTCCAACAGCCTGTATGTCAGCACCCTCAGTCCAAAAACACTGTAGTTTATATTAAATACAACACAGAGCAGTTCACGTTGTAGAGAATGAAATACAGACTTATTCCCAGCATAGATCCATGATAAGATTCTCCTCCATAGTGGGGAACAGCTGATTGGAGTTTCACTGTCTCACTCCGAGCTGCCCATAGGGAAAAGTTTGGACTTGTCTTTTTTTTTGCAGTGCAGCAGTTTGAAAAACAATGAAAAACACAGAATAATATGACATTTGAAAAATGACACATACTGAAATTGCATTGAAAAAAAACCTCATGACATTTTAATACATCAGTATGATATTTAGAAAGTGGTATAACTTTCAAAATGAATTATGCATGATTAACTGTGGCCTTTGAAGAGATAACTTCACTGTAGTATGGCATTTGAAAAATGAATGTGTTTATTATACTGTTAACGAATACAACATATATAAACACGTCCAGTTGTCGTGTAGTTGTATTCAACAAGATTTCTGCTCGTGTTAATAAGAAAACACAAACATTTTCTCTGCTTTTAAGAATACCCCGAGGATATCATAGGATAGGACCCTCCTTATAAAACTATAATTAATAACTGTAAATATAAAGAAAATAGTTTTTCACTTTCTAATAATGTGAATGTCTAAAGAAATGAGCATCATTATCACTTTTGGAGTCACAAAAGTCAATAGTTAGGGTTAAATCTGAATTTAATTAATCACGTGGGAATGTTAACGGGGTGGGAAAATATTTATAACCATCAAATGCATCACTCGTGGAAAATGGTGCATTTGATTGCTCTTGTAACGGTTGTTTGGTGATGGAACATTCTGTCATATATCTGTGTCTTCTGATTGTGTTTCTCCTGCAGGTGAGAGATGAGTACCGGCAGGACTACGACCCAGCCAGAGGCGGCTATGGTAAACTGGCTCAGCAGCATCCGGCCACAGAGCAGCGCAACACGTTTTAGACTGAACCCTCCTGGTCCACACAGAGCTCCAGCGTCAGCGCTGGGCCGGATTCATCCCCTAACGATGCCAACACAGATTGTTTGTTCAAGTGTTGCCATGAGACACTCGACAGCAGGTCAGCATGAACCAGTGGACTCTGGAAATCAGCAGCTGTTATTTATTTCTTCTGCAGACTTGTTTCCTCTTCTAATTGGCTTCCATACCTGTTATCAGTCTGTATTGGCCCCAAAGTTAAACTGTGATATGTAGTGATCTTTTCATTATCCTGCAAACAGAAACACGTTGTACGTTCCCACAACCTGGACGACTCTGACAGGATGCAGCGACTGGGTTAACAAATATATCAAATGGACAAAATGATCTTCATGTCAGGAATTAATCGTAGTCTGCTGAAGTACTGATTTCTATGAATGAAACTTTCTGTCCCAAACAGTGTTTACTTTTTTTAAATAAAGATATTTTTTGGTTCATTTGAGTGAAATTTCTGTCCTGATCAAAATCTGGAGTCAGATGTAGTTGTTGGTGTTTTTAGAAAATCAAAGGCAAACTTAGCTCCTTTTTTCATTATGTCACTAATAACAGATTATACTATAACTCATATTTAATATTATTTAAAAACGTCCTTGAGATGTGACAGATATTTCACCTCACTGTTCATGGTGACTCCCGCTGTCTGCGTGTCAGGGTGCAGAGGATTTTACTGAATAAATCTTTAAAAGATTTTCATCACGGCACTCATAACACGCTTATGTGAAATATTATAGAATAAAATCCTTGAGAGGTGACAGATGTTTCACATCACTCTTGTCGTGGTGACCTTCACTGTCTGCGTGTCAAGTTTTAAGTAAGTTTATTGTAGAATGTCTGAGAAAATTAAAAGCAAAGTTGGTTAACTCTTCATTATGGCACATTCTAACCCACACATATAATTTCTTTTAACAATGTGGCTCTAATACTCCTTTATACTTCATAATAACTTTATTCGTATAGCACTTGTGAAACAATTTGACAAAGTGCTCCATACAAAAGAATCCATGGCAACACGAAGAATGAATTATGATAAAAGGTTTTCAGTTCAATTCTAATGTTTGAATCATAACATAATAAGATCAAGACCTTAAATGTAAAGAGACTCAACAGTTTCCATGATGAGACTTCACACGTTCAATTCACGCCCCGCCCCCACACCTGGTTATCTTCAACCAATCAGATTGTGCCTGAGGAGCGAACAACATGGACGCAAGTATTTTACATAAAGCATAATATCACTGTGATGCACCAACTTCTCTGGATTTAGACCTTAAAGATTCGTTTTTATGAAATGGAGTAAGTCAGGAATTCACTTTTGGAGGGAAACTGCAAAAGCCTAACCTCAAGGCCTCACCTGCAAAAAACACAGCACAAAAAACGAAACATACCCAGATCCAAGCTGTGTTGAAGCTGTGACATGTCCGGCTCGCGGCAGCCGTTGGAAAAAGGAGTTAAGTTTTAATCTTTGAACTGAGGAAACAAACCAAAAGACCAGAATTTTGAACTTCTCTCACTAACTTGACTCAGATGTGCAACTTTAAGGTGAGTTTTAAGTCCTTTTTTAACTTTATGTTTTAATGGGATTAAAATTAAGTCCAATACAATCACAGTGTATTATATTCAGGACAGATGTTATTTAAAATTGAATCAAATCTTATCAATGTAAAACAATTACTTGACAACAACTATTTGACTTTCTGTGGCACATTTAATGATTTTGTAAATTACTGTTGGTGATGTTTCATCTTGAGATGATGAAAATGTGTAAAGAACATTTGAAGTTGTGTATCCGGTAGATCATGATTGTTATGTTCTTATTGTATCAAGTGAAATTTAATCTGCAACAGAATTTAATGTAATGAACAAGTCAGTGTTCATTCAGGCTGATATGATGATAATCTAATGTTTACTAAGTGATGAATAGGACACCTTGTCTCCCTGTTCTCATTCTGCAGGAATCTGACTCCAGAGCTGTACGATCCAGAGCCAGATCTTCAGCTCTGCCACTCTTTTATTATTCATTCATATTGTCGTGACTTTGTAGGATTGAACCTCGGCAAGAAGTCGGAGTGACTGGTTGTTACTCGCTCCTCGGTGAAAATGCAGCGGAGCAGAGATCAGGCCTTTTGGAGCTGTAAACTTTATATGGTTGTTGAATACTAAACAGTGGAAACCGGCCCAGACGCACATTTTAATTGTGTTACCAACACTTATCCACTATTGCACTTTACTCCTAATCACATCCTCTCAAAGCAGATTTTGAAAATGAACACAAGATGGCAGGAGAGGCGGTTAAGTTCCTCAGAATAATTGGGGACAGGCGGATGTGGTAGTAACGTTAATGTGAGAGAATAGCACCTACTTCAGTTTTACTACTAAGACCTGCGTCAACAATCATTTCCCTGGACCATCAATCATTTATCAATCTTTCTGATCTGATCGAATGGTAAATGGTTTAGTTTCTGCCACGTCAAGTTGTGAAGGCCGACATGAAAACTCATCCAAACTGCTATAAAATCGACATTTATTCATATAAAAATATTCCGATATTTTTAAAATTTAGTATTATTTAGCATCCTCTGTCAAATTCATTCAAAATGAACCAATTTGACAGGCTGGGTCAATAAAGGAATATATATGAGGTGTTGCATTTACAGACTGAGCTGGATATCACCACTGTTTCATCTCTGTTTATTTTAAGATGCAGTGAGAATTTCATCTTGTCCTAAATATTGCAAAGAATCTGTTTTTGATCCATAACACCTGCGTCTGGGGGATTCATCCATTCCTGTTTGCTGCAGCAAAAGAAGTGAAGCTCACCGATGCCCTGAATGTGTCCCACACGATAAGGTCCCTGGAGATTTACAGCATTAGCCGTTATCATAGTCGGGTTCAAACGGGGTCAAGAGACAATCAGACGGCACCGAGACCAGACCCTGAATTAATGAGACATTATGCTAACGAGAGGGCTGTTTGGAAATACCTCGCTAAAGAAACTCATTGGCCGGTTGTAGATGATGGAGTCAGATAATGATCCACCATTACAATGAAGAACAACGAGCGCTCAACACCAGCGCAAAGCGCGGGAGATACGCCCCGGCTTGCTCGTTAGTTCATGATAAGAGGTTCGTCATGGATCAGCCGACGAACACACCAGCATGTCAAGTTGTTCAATCTCCTCTCACTCGTATCTACACTCAGGCACTTTGGTTTCATTTCATTCAAATCTTAATGCTGACAAAAGTATTTTAGAGAATAAGATAAAGAAACACTCTTTATTTTGTTTGTTCGGTTTAGATGAACTTTTGAGACCTTTTTAACACCACTTGAAATTAAATGTAAGACCAAACGTCCAGTTGTAATACACACAGAAGTGAAAATATACCTGTTCCACATTTATGTCCGTTAGAATCCAGTGTCCTGAGCCTCATTTTGATCGACTTTCAACACTGGAATTCTCGCTTTGTCCACTTATCTTCTATTCAATCTGAATAGAAGTAAATGCAATACTTTTTAAGGCCTTTTGTTTTTTTATATTTCAAAGCCTGTGATTATGCAGAGCCCTGAACTCAACCCCAATCCAACACCTTCCTGAAGAACTGGATGGCTGAATGTGAGCCGGGTCTTATCAGCCAATGCCTGACCTCAGCAATGTGCTTGTGGCTGAGATCTCATCTCTGCATCCAGGTTTTTTAAATCTTGTGCAAAGCCCTCACAGAGGTGCAGTTGTAACAGCATCTGCACATCTGTGATTAGGTCAAACATCACAAATTGGTGTAATGTTTTTGGGACTGTGCAGTGTTTGTAGTGATTCAATAAAGCTTATTTAAAGCCCTGGATTAAATGAAAGTGTCTACATTTCTAAGTTGAATGTCGTTTAACAATAAAGAAAGAACTTAGTCCATCATACATTTCATCCGAGCGTCACTCCAAGGCAAATACTTCCATCACCATTTTGCAGTGTCAGGAGAAACATTAACCTCCTACATATTTTATTTGCTGCAGGAGAATATCAGCTGCAGGCATTTCAAATGGTCCAGAGAGTAAACATGTAGATTTCCGGTTATTGAGGGGGATCTCATTACAGCAGAGTAATTCACTCCTCCATGGCTAGTTTGGAAACACATCTACCCTGATGAGCTGCAGGAAGCCCATAAAGAAGCTAAATTAGCAAATGTTAGCTTGACATTTTGCGGCCCGAGGGGAAGAATTTGTGGGGAAAAGTGTTTTTTATCTCGTGGCGTGCTTTCAATTCAGCCTGAACGTGAGTACACTGTAAGTGTCGAGATTGAGAGTGAGTAGTGGGGTGTGATGCGGCTAAAGAGGAAGCACTGAAAAGGATTTGACAGGTAGGAGCTCACCAGACTGGAAAAGCCCTTTGTCTGTCCACCCTGACTCTGTTAATCATCTGTGGTTTCATCTGTTCTCTGATACTCTGTGAATGGATGATGCAGGAAACACAAAGAACACAACTTTCATATTACTCAGAGAGCACATATCTCCACCAAGAGTCCACTAGTTGCACCAAATTTCACACACTCTTAAAAATTAAAGTAAAAAAAAACAATTATTGAATCCACCCACTGATTCGGAGCTGCACCATAATTCATTGGGTTCTTCCCTGACCCATATGTCATCGTTCCACCCAGTTTCGTGAATGTTTGTTGGTGACGTTGGTCATGGGTGAGAATTTACGCCATTTTGTGAAAACATGAGCAAAAGCAGCAGCAGCAGCTGCGCAGAGCTTTCAGAATACCTTCAAATGAAAGATTTAACGATGACATGCCATCATTTCTTTTTCTGTAGCAAATAGGATGGAAATTGGGGCATTGCAGTCACACAAAAGGAGCAGTTTGTGAACAGCGCGGCCATCGTCCTGGTGGAAAAGAGGTTTAAACTGTAGCAGGCAATTGCTGTGTGAAGAAAATGGGGCAGTGAGTAAGAGGAGAAAGGGCAGCCATGGAAAAATAAAGTTTACGAGGGTAACGTTGACTTTATTTAACGCATTAGGAGCAAGCTGTTCTGTCATTATTTATTAGCTGATGACGCTTCTAACACGCCACAAATGCGCAAATGAAAAGCAATATCTTCGGTGCAACACATGTAGAACCCACCGACAAAGCTGTCAAGAGAGTTTGTGCTGATCAGAGCTGACGATGTGTTGTAAACAACATCGCATGATCGCTGCTGAGTTAAAACGTCACTTCCTGTCTCCGCCTGCTGCTCCACCCCTCACCTGAATGATGCAGAGGATTTGTTGCTGTTGCGAAAGCGTCTGAGCAGAGAACTTTCCACAGGTCACGTTTGAAAACAGCTTTAGTGACTTTGTGCTGTTGCTGTCTGTCAAGTTTTCTGTGCCTGCACGTGTGCAGTTTACAGTGATTGTTGGATTTGATGATTTTGACCTTTTACCCATAGCAGGGACAAAAAGCTGGAAAGT